CTGTTATTATTCCCATTTTACTGATGAGGAGACTGAGGCTGGGATATTAAGTGATATATCCAAGGTCACACAGCTAGGCAGTGTCTGAGGCAGGTTTTGAACTATGGTCTATCTTGTCTCAAAATCCAGAACTCAATCCATTGTTCTGCCCCTAATGTATATGATGTGCATTGAGCGTCTCTTCAGGGGTTAGAGACTCTGACCTATTTTTAGGCAAAAGTCCTACATTTTTTAGGTTTCCCTGGGATTTGACTCTGGGTTGGGACAATGAATTAAAAGGATATTCTGATCCTCCTGGGGATCAGTGCCTTCCCCGCCCCGACCCCCAAACTGAGCCTGTTCTGTGTGCGCTCAGAGTCCTTGAAGGGTCCCTGGGCCATGCTGTACACAAGTATTACTCTTCCTGGGTTTTTGATATGGAAACAAGCCTAAAGAAGTGAGGAAAATTGATCTCCAGCACAGGATCAGAGGGTTTAAAGCTTAAACGGATCTACTTAACCATTTCCAATCCAACCCTTCATTTTGTAGAAAAGGAAACTGGAGCTCCTGGAGGTTAAGTGACCTGACTAAAGCCACAGAGAGTCAATAATCTATACCTGATAAGCATTTATAAAGCACTTACTACGTGCCCAGCACTATCCTAAGTGCTAGGAACACAAAGAAGGCAAAAGATAGGCCCTGCCCTCAAGGAGCTCACCATCCCATGTGGGAGATGATATGTAGACAACTATGTACAATAAAACACATACAAGGTATACTGGAGGGATCGAAGGAGGGAAGGCTCTTGCATTGCAAGGCATCAGGAAAGATTTCTCGTAGAACATGGGATTTTAGTACGTTGTCTCCTCCATTAGACTGTAAGCCACTTGAGGGCAAAAACTGTGGGTTTTGGGGTTTGTTTTTTTTTTTGTCTTTCTCTGCAGCCTCAGTACAATGCTTGGCACATAGTCAGGGCTTCATAAATGTTTGCTGACTGACTGATTGATTTGAAGGGAGTCAGGGAGGGAAGTAAATAGAAAAGGTAGAATTTGAACCCAGGTCTTCAGATAATAATAAGTTGAGGTGACAGAAAAAGGACTGTATGGTCTGAGGCCTGACTCTCAGACATCAATATCCACTTTTTCTCAGCTCTCAGCTCACTAAGTGTCTCTTTGATTCCCCATCATAGGCCAAGGAAAAGCATAGTGAATGGAATGCAGGGGATGGAGTCAGAAACATCGACTAGATTAGAATCCTGCCACTGATAGTTACAAGCTGTGCGCCAGAGGCAAGACTTCTCCAGTCCTCCATTTCCTCATCTGAAAAATAAAGATAATAAAAGTCATGCCAAAGCAGCTGAGACATAGTGTATAGAGTGTGTTGACCTTGAAGCCAAGAAGATCTGAGTTCAAATTCCACCTCTGATGTAGACATAAGCCTGGCTATAGGGACCAGGGAAAATCACTTAATCTCTCATGCCCCAGGCAGCTAAGTCTACAGGTCTATAAGTCTATAGGGGAAGGGGTGCCATCTACTTTGGTGGAGGGAGTTTTCTCATAGGGAGTTCCCTACCCTATAACAATGAAATCACAGGCATATAGGTTTTCATATGTGTGTGTATATACATATATGTATGTATATACATATATACACATATGTGTATATATAATGTCTACATATACATCTGTAGCACTTCACAGGATTATGAGGCTCAAATGAGCCAATAATATGTTATGTGCTTTGCAAATTTTAACATGCTCTGCAAATGTCAGCTGTTCTTACTGTTGAATTTATTTCAAGTAGGGCAATCTGGAGGATGCTATCAAGATAATAATATTAGTAATAATAATAATAAACCAATTATAGGGCACTTTAAAGTTTGCCAAGCACTTTATAAATATTTTCTCATTTGACCCTCACAATACCCCCGGGGGTGTTATTAACCTCCTTTTAGAGAGGAGGAAACTGAGGCAAACAGGTTAAATGATCATGCAGTAAGGGTCACAAAGCTAATGTTTGAGGCAAAATTTGAACTCGGGTCTTCCTGACTCCAGGTTCAGCTTTTTTAGCCACTGTTCCACCTTACTAACCACATACACACACACACACACACACGCACGCACGCACGCACACACACACACACACACACACACAATTTATATATGTAAAAGTGCTTCTTAAAAGCCAAAGTTATTATTACTGTTTGTTTATTCACAATTGCTCTTTCAGCTGGGGTAATCTGGAGGATGTCATTAGGACTAATAACAACAATAATAATAGCATTTGTATACCTCTTCAAGGTTTGCAAAGCCTTTTACATATGTCCTCACAACAACCCTGTGAAGTATTATTATTCCCATTTTACAGATGAGGAAACTTGAGATACATAGAGATTAAAGGACTTGCCCAAGACCACGAAGCTAATAAGAGTCTGAGACAAGGTTCAAAGTGAAGTCTTCCTGATTCCCAGTCCCATGCACTATTCTCTTAACTACTTAACTGCATGTAACCACTGTTACTATTATCATATTAGATCACATTTATGTGGAACTTTCCAGTTTACAAAGAACTTTCCCCCACAACAACCTTATAAGATATAAGCATTTGTTGTAGTTTTTGTGGCATTTCAGTCACGTCCAATTCTTCATGATTTCATTTGGGGTTTTCCAGCAAAGATATGGGATTCGTTTGCTATTTCCTTCTCCAGCTCATCTTATGGATGAGAAAACTGAGGCAAACAGGCTTAAGTGACTTGCCCAAGGTCATACAGGTACTGTCTGAGACCAGATTTGAACTCAGGAAAATGAATCCTCCAGACTCCAGGCCCTACACTCTATCCACTGCACTACCTAGCTGCCCATTATAAGCATTACTATTCCTGCTTTAGAAATGAAAAAAACTAAGACTGAACAGGATTATGTGACCTGGCTAGGGTCATATACACATACATATAGTAAATGGTAGAGAATGAAGACCCCACTCAAGCCTCCAGACTCCAGCTCCATTTCTGTCTTCATCATACCCTCCTGACCACCACCACCCACCCACCCACTCTGATTTGGAAGAAAGACTCAGACGACTCTGCAGGCTCCATCTTAGACTAACCCACTTCTCTCCTAAAGCCTCAAAGCCTTTTATAGACACATAAAGCAAGACAGACATTCTACTTTGACCTGTCTCTACTATACACCGCCCCCCATACCCTCTGAAGACCATCTTCTGTATTTCAGCTAAAGTTATGTTATAAGTTGATAGATTTGAGATGAATCAATATAAATCTATCTCCACTACTAGGTGAAAATATAGCTCAAAGGACACATCTTATCGATGTGCTTTATATTTGTATATGACATCTTCTTATATGAAAGGCAATACAATATTAAAAATTATTCCTTAAGAATCCTGCGGTGGAGGGTGTGCTTCTGGAGACCCACACTATTAAGCAGCAGCCACCTCTAGGGTGGACAGTGGTAGACAGCATCTATTAGTATTATCTCATCACAGAAGGCTTAAAAAAAGGTCCCTTCTGGCTCCAGAATTTTATGATTCTAACCTGGTGAGGGAGGGAAGGGAATAGGGTTGAGATGCAGAGCGGGGGAAGCAGAAAACACACAAGAAAACACTAAGAACCCAACAAGGGGGAAACTATAGCTATGAGATCTTTGAAAAGTCTCAGGGGCAAAGGCCTTGGGGGAGGGTGTGTGTGCTGGGTTTGGGGCATTGGAAAGAACCCCATCCAGGACTTTCGTACTAATGGTGCCCCAGAAATAACAGCATCATAAACTACAAGGGAAGAAAAACTAGCTCTATCTTCCTACCATAGTGACTGGTTAGGTACACTGTCAACCATAACCAGGCTGGAGGGTGACAAATCTAACTAGTCATTGTCCTCATTGGCTGGCCTAATAATGATTGCTAGCTCTGTCAGCTAATGACAAGAAACAATGATGAATGCCTCTTCTCTCTGCTGACTCAACATAAGAAAGTAGTCCCAAAGAGTAAAATGTGACCCGTTGCTTTGGAAATGGCTGACCAGCTGTGTTGCTTAATCTGAGAAACTGAGAATTCCCAGCTAGGCCCCGTCAGATGGGGTGATTTTCCCCCCAAACTCCACTCCCATACCCCTCCATGTGGTTATGTTCCCAGGAATAACAAGCTGAGGCTACTTTGATGCTTATGTTCAGAGCTTGTAAGTAAAAGAATGAATTGACCTCTACCTCAATTTGGAAACGTGGCTACCCTCTACTCATTACGACAACAAAGAGCCCAGTTTTCAGGTGTTAGCTGAAATAACAAATTACCTGAGTTGGTTTCCCTCCTAGCTGTTTATAGGGCAAGAATTTCCTTTGGTGAGAATTTACCTTCAGACTTGGCAAGTGCTGATACACTCACTATTTCAACTTTCCTGGCACAAAATCAGAAGGAAAAAGAGAAAAAAATCACTTTCCCCTGATTACCCACTGCTCTCTTCTAAAGCATCAAAACATTGACTCCTTTCTTTTATAGCAAGTAAGCCATATTTGATCACTGTTAATAGCACTAGGTAGTCCACCAGTATCTCCAACCAATACCAGAGGCTTTGATTTCCTTGACACATCCCACCTTTTCCAAGGAACTAACTATGTTGTCTATCTTTCAGCAGCACTGAAATCTCTCATTTTGCAAACACAATTTATCTTCCTACAAACCAGAAAGCCTGGATGCACTTTATTAGAAAAAAGCAGGAACCATTTTTGTGTAGCTTACTTTATATCTCCCTTTTGATTGGCCCATTCATTGATCTAGGTTTCAGATAGCTTGGTTTTGGAGTGGTGGGGAGGAGGGGAGAGAGAAAGGAGAGAGAAAGAGAGACAGACAGACAGACAGACAGAGACAGAGAGACAGAGAGACAAAGAGAGAGATGGATAGACGGAGGAGAGATTCCTGAGCCACTTGTGTAAAACAATTTGAGATCACAGGATTTAAAACACAACTTTTTCTAAAGGTGATATATAAGAGAGACAAACACATGAGCAGCGGAATCAGTGTTATATAAAAAATTCTATTTAATTTGAGCCTACTTTCCCCAGAGACTGAGATGAAATAAGGGAATCAGTGTGCCCCAAGATGTTGAGGGAAAATGTTCTATTCTTGCTATATCTTCAAAGTAAATATCCTTTTATAAAAGCTAATTGATGTTAAATGGTTAAATGAAATGGGGGGGATGGAAAAGAATATAATCAGTGGGCTGAGGCCAATGGCAGTAGAGCAGCAACCACCTAAAACCCTCCAAGCTCCCTTAGAATCCTAGAAGGGGTTGGGGGAGGAGGAGAGGACAGGGAAGGTGCCACAGCCTGGCTCTGGGATCAGTCAGAGCGAGGTTGCTACAATACAACCAGATTAATTTGATGATTTGAGTGAAGTGAGATGGAGGAAGAGAGTGGAAGGGGGCATCCAGAAAAGGAGCTTCAGAGGTGTCCCAGATGTTGGCTCAGACTAGCACACAGCACAGCCACTGCGAAAGGAAGAGAACAAGGGTTAGGCCATTACCATTTATATGAGAGTATTCATAGTAACAATTTTGAGGTAGCAAAAAAAAAAAATAGATATAAGTGACTACCCATCAGTTGGAGAATGGCTGAACTATGGTATGTGAATGAATCATGTTGCACTGTAAGAAATAACAACTCTGAGGGATTCAGAGAAACAGAGAAGATTGGTACAAACAGATACGGATTAAAATAAGCAGAATCAGGAGAAAAATGTACACAATTTCCAAAAGAACCGCCATGAGAAAACACTCATTGACAACTGAGGTCTAATTGGAATGATGATCTTCATCCCAGAGAAGAGGTGATGAAACATGTCTGTTTCTTCTCAGGACAGAGGTGGGGACCTGTAGGAGCAGAGGGCTGCATATGTGATCTCCCTGACCACTGGTTTTGCTTAACAGTTTTCCTTTGTTACAGAGATGGGCATCTCAGGCAGTGACTGCAGAGTAAAAATAAAAGGTATCAATGAATGATGTTCTTGTTTTTTTTAAAAAAGGAGGCCACTGCTTCCAAAGGCAGCTGACATGATTTATTTTTGAAAGAGATGCTTCCCTACCACAAATGGACGTGTTTTTTTACATACCCTCTACCTGTGTGGTTTATTGCTCAGTGAATAATAAGAAACTAACAGCTCCTTCAATCGAGTATAGCTAAAGCCACAGGCCCACGAAAAATGACTTAGACACACTGTACCAATTGGGATCTTCTAAACTATTTTTAAAATTGTGACATAGGATGTCTATAAAATCCCAAAACTATTCCTCCATCAATTTTCTTGGCATGATCAAAAAGGAAGCCTTCAGGACACAGATCAATAAGTGGATGGTATTATTCATATTACTGAAGTATAGAAACTGAGGCAAATGTAGGTGATGTAATTTATCCTAGATTCTTTGACATGATTACCAATAAAACCACTGCCTCTACATCAACTACTTATTTCAACTGGAAGCCTCAGTGAAGAAGGAACAATGCTTTCTTCTGTAGAGCCCAAATAATCAACACATTTCAACGACTCCTATCATAACTTCACACTGAGAAAATGTACAAGAGCTCTTCAGATTGGCATTTTAAGATTTTTTTCCCCCATGCAGAACATTATACTCATTATATTCTGTGTGATCTGATTTATTTATTTTACATCTTTAGGGAACCTGTATCCATAGTCAACAGGCTTGGGTTCAGGTCTTTGTTCCACCATTTACTTATAAGCTGTGTGACTAGACAGATCACTTCAACTTTTTGAGTCTCAGTTTCCTCACCTGTGAAATGGGGACAACCCTTGCATTACCTACCAGACTCAGTTGTGATGATAAAAGCATTTGGTAAATCTTCAAGTGCTATACAAATGTGACCCATTAGGATTACTGATTATCTTATTAATTAATAATTACACGGTTAATAATTAAGTAGCTAAATATCTTTTTAAATTAATAATTAAATGGTTAACAATTAAGTGGTTAAATATCTTTTATATATCCCCTGTCTCCCTCCCAAAATGTTTCTTTTAAATGGAAAGCACTTAAAAGTCAGGAGCTATGTGTGTATTTACACTGTTCACTTTACACTATGTCCGTCCCATCAGCAATTGTTGCCAATGCTATGCAAAAACAATAGTGCATCGTGCCCTATAAATGGCTTTGTTGTTGTTGTTCAATTGTTTCAGTTGTGTCTGACTCATTGTGACCCCACTTGGGATTTTCTTGCCAAAGATGCTGAAGTGGTTTGCCATTTCCTTCTCCAGTTCATTTTATAGATAAGGAAACTGAGGCAACCAGGGTAAAGTGATTTGTCCAGGGTCACACAGCTAGTAAGTATCTGAGGCTAGATTTGAACTCAGGGAAATGAGTCTTCCTGACTCCAGGCCTGGCACTGTATCCACTGAGCCACCTAGCTGTCCATAAGCAGCTTAGAATTTGGCTTAGAACCTTTGCTTAAAATGCATGCAATTTAAGTATCTGTGCTGAGGAGGACAGCCCTGGCTTTCTCCATCCCACCCTCAACAAAACGTGCATTTTGGCTTCCAGAATTGAGATAAGGCTGAAGTAGAAACAGAATGATGGATTTATATAATCCCTTTTCATCCAGGCACCTCAAAGTACTGTTGGCAAGCAGTGTGCCGCAAACCCAATCCCATTTACCTCTGCCAGTGAGAGCTGGACAATGCCACTCTGGTTCTTGTCCAACAGATTGAACATTTCTAAAGAGTCAAAGAAAGAATGCAATTAGACATCTAGTGATAGGCCACTGGGCCCCCCACACCTCTGCTATCATGCTGGACCCGCTCTCCTCCTCCCTCCATAACCAGAGGCTTTTCCAACCTTGATCCGGGGCAGAGCTGGCCTTCTACTTTGTCAGCAGGTCTTCTGCCTGCTCACAAGCTTCCCCTGAGTCTATCTGTGGTCAATCCTAATGCTGAAGCTAATAATCTAACATGCGGACTATCTGGTACCTCTGCATCCCTCTTTCTGACTGCCTGACTTTTGGACATCTCAACTGGTTTCCATCCCACCTTCCAAAAGTAGCCAGTGGAAACAAAGGCCCACATGCCACCTACGCTAGATTAGATTCCCCGTTTCCTGAAATTTGATCTCACCTTTGCAATCCACCACCTGTATAATGTTGTCCAAGTCATCTGAGCTCTCCGAGCCCCAGGAGCCTCATCTGTACAATTAAACCACATGACCACCTAATCTCTAAGGCCCCTCCCAACTCTATGAAAAACCAGAGCGATCTTCTTGGGTTGTTCAGGAGGTCACGAATGTGCCTGAGATATCCATAAACTCCAAGAGAGGAGAGATTATAGGAGCTAGAGCTAGAAGGTGACCTTAACGGCCATCTAGCCCAAACCTCTCACTTTACAGATGAGATAATTTTTTCTAAAAAGCACTTAGCATACTACCTGGAACATAGTAGGTGCTATATAAATGCCTTTTTTAAAAAAATTTTTTAGGCAGTTGGGGTTAAGTGACTTGCCCAGCATCACACAGCTAGTGAGTGTCAAGTGTTTGGTCTGAGACCGGATTTGAGCTCAGGTCCTCCTTACTTCAGGGTCGGTGCTCTCTACCCACTGCACCACCTAGCTGCCCCTTAAATGCCTTTTTAAAAAAGATAAGGAAACTAACTAAACTTCTCCATGGAAGAGAAGTAATTTGGCCAAAGTAATGAAGATAGTTAATGGTCACATTCAAGGTGTCTTTATCTATGTATCTATCACCCATGATATCTAATATATATATACAAATATGTGTGTGTGTATATATATATATGTATACATGTGTATATGTGTGTACACATATATATATATATGTACACATGCATATGCATATATATGGCCTCAGTAAATATTTGTTGAATAAATGATGACTTCAACTCTTCTCCTGAAGGATAAGGCAGTCACCATGACCTCAGTCCACATACACTATCTTCCCAACTTGTTCTATACTTAATTCTTTCTGCCTATGCTCTCTCGCCAACTAGGGAAAATGTCATCGTTGGATTTTACCTCTAAGCCTCACAAATGCAGTGGCAGATACTGCTTCAAGACAGCATCACCCCTCCCCACCCTCCAATCCAAAGTTAAATGGTGAGTGGGACAAGGAAACTCACTGAAGAGACTCTCCAGCCGTATCATGCAGGCAATGAAACTGTCAAAGTGAATGCTGAGCGAGGTGCCCCCATAGCGCACAGCGATTGCCTGCTGTATCTGGTTGTTGAGAGTGAAGCCTGGAGGACAGAATGGAGACAGTTTGGAGAGAATGACTAAATCCTTTCTTTGCCCAGCAGTGAAACTTCACCCTCCCCAAGGACTGGGAGTGGAGGAGGAAGGAGGAGAGCAGAGAAGCTTTACTATGGTTTCACATAAATTTGTAAATCAGGAACCCAACTGGGGCCCTCATTGGTTCCCCTCCAGTTGATGCTATATGCATCTTATTGATTTCTTTTTAGTGACTCTGGACAGGGCCCACTTGTCCAATATAGGAGGCAAGGGTAGGCCTGGTCCTATTAACGTCGCTTGTGATATGGTTCAGATTAGACATTGTGGTGAAACAGATACTCCGGAAGGCAAGAAAAGATGTATGGCTGTTAATCAACCAATCACCAAACATTTATTGAGAGCCTACTATACTTTAGGAATTATACTAAGCTCTGGGGTTCTAAGAACAGCCCCTATCCTCAAGGAGTTTATAATCCAAGTTAAAACATGTACATTTTGTTGTTGCTGTTCAGTTGTTTCAGTCATGTCTGACTCTCCATGACCCCATTTTTAGGAGTTTTCTCAGCAAAGATACTGAAGTGGTTAGCCATTCCCTTTTCCAGCTCATTTTACAGATCAGGAAACTGAGGGAAATAGAGTTAAGTGACTTGCCCAGGTTCACAATTCAGTAAGTATGAGGCTGGATTCAAACTCAGGAAGATGAATCTTCTGGACTCCAGGTCCAGCACTCTATTCACTGCACCACCTAGCTGCCCCAGGTATATATGTAGGCATACACAAAATAGATCCAATATGATTGGAGCAGAGAAAGTGGGCACTAGCAGCTGGAAGGGATCAGAAAAGGCCCTAAGGCTGACGATTCAGAAGAAACCTCCAGACTGAGGTCCAGAAAATCTTGAGTTCAAACTTATTAACTAGCAGAACTTCCAGAAAGAGGGCTGGATTCATCAGTGTGTGCTCTCTCATTTTTTATCTGAGTATTTTTATATTCACATTATAAAAGTAAAGGTGGGGAGAGATAGGAAAACAACTGCCAGGCAGTCCTCCCAGGTTCCTCACCCAACAGAACCCTAGGAAATATGGAGAAAGTCCTAAAATTACTGTGATCTCTCCCCCTGACAAAAATCAAAGCTCTTAGAAAAACTTAAAGTGACATATGGCATGGCAACTAGTAGAATGTTTTACATACAATAGGCGCTCAATAAATCTATGCTGATTTATTTTTGGATAGACACATGATTTCATTGTTATAGGGAACTCTCCTCTACCAAAAGATCAGCATTTATTCTTCGACAAAGGTCAGATAGTTGCCTCTGGCTCTGTTTATTTTTGTTCTGAAACTATCAATAATCACAATGACATTATATTTGTATCTCAAATTTAAACTTGAAAATTTGGGTCTCAAGGCCCTGTCCAGAGATCATATCCCCACCTGCTTTCTTGAAAGCTGTCCTCATCTCATGTATATTGATAGTCCCTGAGTGGTGAGCATCTACTTCCTGGTAGATCTCCTGAAACAGAAAAGAAATGCCAAGCAGAAAATAATCCTTTATGAAACTTTCAGGAGCTCACCCTCTCCCCTAGCCTTAGTGATTCACTCCTAGGGTGAAACTCTGCTGGCTCTTCCCAGAAGAAGTTAGAACAAAGACAAATGTTTGTCCGGAACACCAGCGTAAGACAATCATTACTTCTCTGGGATGGTGGAGGTTTTGGTTTGGGGAGCTGGTATTTTGTTCTCTAATTTTTCATCTCTTCCTTATCTTGTCTTGAGCCATAACATACATAAGTGCAGGGCTGATTATAACTAGAGGATTGAGTACCTAGATTAATCTAGAACAATACAGGGGTGACTTTTCAGGTTGAGGAGTTAGGACTGGGAAGGGAAGAACGTTTGAAGGAGGTAGAAAGAATTAAATGAATAGTTACCAAACACTTCTGAATCTTCAGCCATAATGTCTTGAGTTCTACAAGTCCCAAAGTGCCTGTCCCATTATTCTGGACATGTTAAGGACATAGTATAGACAATAACAGTTTAGACTAAAGTCTATGTACCCTGCAATTTTTTTTTCTTCTGGAGGTATCTTCCTATCAGGTGTCAGCTTTAGATCAATCTGTTGTATACGTCTTTCAAATTTGACTCAAAGATAAATACAGTGCCATCTTAGCATTGCCAAGAAGATCAGGACACCAAAGATGAATGCCTCCTAATTGGGCAGGAATTCCTCCAGCACTTCTCTCCTTGAACCCCAAGAAATTTTTCCCCGGCCCTATGACTGATGAGGTCTAAGTGACTGACAAGCTAGTCCTTCCTATACTTTGGCATCGTGGGGAGGGAAAGCTGTGAGTAGCCCTGAGAAACAGGAGATGGAGTAGTCATGGGAGCCAGTGAGGAAAAGCTAAAGAGGGAAGTAGTACCATGACATTATCATCTCAAGACGCTAGGATTGAAGCTATGTGGGCAAATCATACATTAGACATGTCAAGATGGATGCCGTGTCTGAGTTATACCCTCCACCCCACCCCCACATCATTTCCCTTCCCCCTTAGGCTTTCTTGCTCCCCTCTCTGGAGAGAGCGGGAGCATGAAGTTTTTCCCCTAGAACCAGGAAAATCTGTTTCTTGCAAGTTTGTTACTTTTCTTTGTTTAAATGTTTACTTTGCCTCTTAAGCAGGCAATTGAGATAAATACTTAACCATAAGCACTGCTAATGTGGTTGTAGTTATTGCGGATGCACCAGATGGGGGGCTGCGTCCTAGGGGAGGAGGAAAGAGAGGGAAAGGGATAGAGATTTTGAAGCAGCAGTGATTTTTGCTAAAAATACACTGTCTAGGAGCTCAGAGCTGAAAAGGGGAATTATTGATTCATTTTTACAACTTCAAGGGCAGAGAGAGAATACTTATACCAGAATCCCTTTAGGCAATGAATGAGTCAGCAATCACTGGGGATCTGTGACTAGCTGGGCTAGAACTGAGACCAGGCTTTTGTCACTGTTTTCCCCAGACTTAGTTCAAGAGGAAAATCCCTCCCAGACAGGAAAACCCTAGGGAGTAAGTAGAGAGAAAGCCTGGTCCAAGTGAAGGAATAGTCCATCCAGAAAAAAGATATGTGGGGGAGGTGGGGAATAAGAGTGACTGATAGCCATGCTTACCAGAATAGTCCCACTTATCAGCACCACACCACTGCTAGACATCTATCCAATATTATCATACCTAAGCCTAGAACTGGAAGTAGTTTTTCAGTGCATATATCCTCACTGAATTGAAGCCAGAACTAAGAGGGAACAAATTCTGATGAAGAGTAAAAAAGATTCTACTAAGAGTATGGGATTTAGAGTTTAAAGGGACCCTAAGGTCATCTAGTCCAACCCTCTCTTAGGCCCAAAGAGATAGAGGGACTTGGAGGCAGCTAGGTGGCACAGTGGATAGAGCACCAGCCCTAGAGTCAGAAGAACCAGAGTTCAACTCTGGCCTCAGACACTTACTAGCTGTGTGACTCTGGGCAAGTCACTTAACCCAATTGCCTCCAAAAAGGGAGTGACTTGCCCTCAGTCACATAGGCAACACGTAGCAGAACTAGGATATGAATGTAAGTCCTTTCTGCCATGCCAGCCTGTCTCCCAGATCCAAGAAGACACAGCAATATTTACAATTGAATTGTCCTAGGGACTGAAGGAACTGAAAAGACTTCTACAGTAAGGTCTAAAATTGTTGTTCAGTCATGTCTGACTCTTCAAGACCGCATTTGGGGTTTCCTTAGCTAGGGTAGTTTGCCATTTCCTTCTCCAGCTCATTTTACAGACGAGTAACTGAGGCAAAGGGGGTTAAGTGACTTGCCCAGGATCATACAACTAGTAAGAGTCTGAAGCTGGATTTGAACTCAGGAAGATGAATCTTCCTGACTCCAAGGCCCAGTGCTCTATCCACTTTGCTCTGGTCTAAAATTACACAACTCTTAATAATCTGTTGGCAGCAATCCCAAAATGTGAAGGAAGGTCATCAGCTTTCATGATGTTCAAAGCCCAACAGCAGTGGTCTACCTATGTTCTGCAAATATACGAAGCTGCTAATTCCCAGCAACACGATTATCTGTCTGCCAATTATGAAAGATACTAACGAAGCCCTCTCAAGGACCATGCCTAAAGAATGTTTGTGGGCTGGGTATGGTGGCACATGCCTGCAGTCCCTACTACTAAGGAGCTCATGAGTTCTTAGCTGCAGTGTGCTAAGCCAGTCAGGTGCCCCATGCTACATTTGGGACCAATATGGTGGGCCCCTGAGTTCAGGGGGGCCACCAGGCTGCCTAAAGAGGGGCAAACCAGCCCAGATTGAAAACAAAGCAAGTCAAAATTCCTGTGTCAATCGCAGTAGGATCAGGCCCATGAGTGGCCACCACACTCCCAGCTTGAGCAAGGTAGGAAGGCTTGAAAAAGAAAATAGTGTGTGTTTTTACAACTACTCCTGGTGATAGGTGCTGAGCCGATCCTTGATATACTGCAAACTGCCTTAACAGCTTAATGGGGAACACTTAAAGAATGAGAACACCTGTAAGATAGGGGATGACAACATCACAGGGGCTCTTGTGGAGCAAGGAAACAGATGCAAATGCCAATGTGAAGAGCAAGCAGTTGTTGCTTAATGCTTGTCTACCAGACAGCCTTAAAAGGAAGCTATACCGGCAGGCCTGTCTTGATGGGAATGACTCAGAGATCAAGGAGCTATTTGTAGCAAAGCAGGGAATACACTGTCAACACCCTGTAGGTTTTCATGATGCAAAAATTAAGTTAAGAAGCATAAGGGCCCATGGAAGGTTGGGCACAGAGACTGATGACATGCAGGACCATGGCAATGACCAGTACTGATAAGCTCCAGGGAGAGGGCACTCATGCCTCTCATTATTCTAAAACCAAGACAGTACCTTTCGTGTGTGTGTGTGTGTGTGTGTGTGTGTGTGTGTGTGTATGTGTGTGTGTGTGTGTGTCCTTTTCAAAAGAGCATTCTTCCCAGTATTATTTTCGAATAACACCTAGTAACACCCAGTAGAGTTCTCTAATAACACATGGTAAGTTATTCTTATTCAATTAACAAGCATTTCTCATTACATTCCAGCCAAAATCCCACCTTCTAAAGGATGCCTTCCCAACTCCATTTCATTCCAATACCTTACTTCTGTTAATTATTTTCTATTTATCCTTTATATATCTTACTTTGTACATATTTGTTTGCATGTTGTCTCCTCCGTTAGATTGTCAGTTCCTTGAGGGCATGAACTTGTCTTTCGCCCTTTTTTGTAACCGCAGAGGTTAGCACAGTGCCTGGCACATAGTGAGAGCTTAATGAATATTGACTGGTTGATAGTATATGAATATGAATACCTATCCTGTTATAAGTGCTGTCCTAGGTGCTAAAGACACTTGCATCTTCACTGTGTTGTTAACTAAAGATTTGTATCCAATTACGTGAAGCCATGAAAAGGGGAACAGCATGGTATAGAGGAGAGCACACTGTATTTGGATTGGAGAAGCCAAGGTTAAAACCCTAGTTCCTCTACTTACTATTTGTGTGACTTTAGAAAAGAAATTTCAGCTCTTTGAGCTTCAGTTTACTCCTAGGTGAAGGAGTGAAAAAGCAATTATACTCCAAGCACCGTGCTAAGCCTCAGGGATACAGATATAAAAACAGACAGGTTCTGCCTTCAAGGAACTTACATTCTAATGGAAGAGACAACAAATATAAGGAAAGTGATATCAGGAATGTTTTGGTTTGGAAAGACAGAGGAATGATGAGTAGAGTTTTATAGAACAAAGCTATAGGGGAGCAGATTAACATGCCATTCCTGTAGTAATGACAGAATTGATTTGATTTGTGTCCTCAGCACTTGGAGTCAGGAAGACCTGAATTTAAATATAGACTTAAAGACTTACTAATTGTGTGACTCTGCACAAGTCACTTAACTTCTGTCTGCCTCAGTTTCCTCATCTGTAAAGTGAAGATAGTAAAGGTACCTAGCACCTATAGCTGCTACTAAGCAGGCTTAGCTACCCAGAGAAGGACACCAAGCTTCTGTGGTCTCTCATACATGATCCTTTAATGACAACAGTATTGCAAATTTCAATTTGTACTTACTAACATTAGCCTGAGTTTGTACTTTAGCCACAACCTACACTAAACTGTAGCTACGAATTAAAAAGGGGGGAAAAGGATGATGTCTACAATGTAGTATTATGGGATGAGCATATGACCTTGGGCAGACCATGTTCACCACTCCTTATCTCCTTTTTCCTAGTTACAAAATTTAAAAAATGATCTTGAAGTTCCCTTTTTATTCTAATTCTCTAATGCTCAAGCTGCCCCATTCCAGAGACTGTCTTTAGAATTTAATTATCCCTTAAGAAGTTAGCCCTTCTCTCGGACCCAAAATTGTCAGGCACACACCTCTTACCTGACCCAGATACCTAGCTCAGTGTAAAGGGTAGGCTCTGGAATACCTGAAATGCCTCATCTCATGCAAAATACCAAAAAGTCCTGTACCCTGAGACACAACATGCTGACTAAGCCCTCATTTAGAACATGAAGGCAGCCAGGCTGGCATGCAGGTAGACACAGGGACTTGGCTTTGCTGTCAGACTTGAAGGCTTGCTTGCCTGTTGTGTTCCCCAGCGTGAGTCAGCTCTGCTGAATACCAATTACATTGGAAAAGCTGATGGTAATGAGAGTATGCACCTCTGCCTGCTGAGGGGTTGCTGGAGGGAAGCACAGACTGGATGCTGCAGCCTCCATCCCATGGTAAACAGTTCTAAACTCTGATGCTACACAGTGTGTTAGACAGACTAGTTCAGGCCCTGTATGTGCCTGCAAAAGTTTTTAGGGTCTTGTTCTGCAGACAGTCTAGCAATGCTTTCTGTGGAAGTAACCAACAGAGGGGATAATGGAACAATGGTGGGAGTAATTATTGACAGACTAGGGATATTGGAGCTGGGGGAAAATGTGGTATCAGCTTCATCCTCATCTTCCTTCAGCTGCTGGCTGATTCCTGAAATTCTACCTTCACAATTTCATCCCCTTTAACTGAAGGCCTTGATCCCTTTTCAAATGAAAGTACCCTTGGCAAGAGCTGTAATAACATTAATCTATTATCAATCATTTAAACCTTCATGTGAATTAAGGATCTGATGGCAGCTTTGCCAGGAAAGAGCTTTCTCCCCAAGACAAACTTCACCTGCTTTACAACTTTAGGGTTTAGAGGATCCAAAAAGCCAGACAGAGTTTAGGGGCTATGGAAAACAGAGTGAGCACAGTATAGTAGAAATGGCACCAGATAGGAGTTTGAAATCTGGCTCTAATATTTACTATCTGTGTGACCTTGGAAAAGTCATTTCATATCTCTTAAGTATATTCTTTATCCAGTAAACTACGAAGCTGATCTCTAAGGTGCCTCCCAGTTCTAAATTCTTTTCTCCTACAAATCAAGAGAAAGTGATTCTGAAAGGATACATCCAAAAGGCTGATCATTTCTCTGCAGGTATTGATGTTGAATCCACCAAATTCCACGTCTGTTCCTAAATGTTTGAATAAAAAAAAGGAAGTTTCAGAGGCACTTGAGGGCAGGGAAAATGATGTCCCTGGCAGAGTGCCACAAAATGCATCAGCCCTGTGTTCTTAGGGTCCTCTGGCAGGAAACATAGGCCCATGTGACTGGTTTGCTGGCAATCTGCTCTCAGCTCAAGGACCACATCTGCTTCATGACATTTGCTAAATGTCATGGATGTCCTGAAGAGAACCCACTATTCTCACTCCTACTTGCCACCCTCTTCCCTCACACCTAGGAGCAGAGGTTAGGATCAAAGACCCATGGTCTCACTTATTTTCTCCCTGAGCCTTTCTTCCCTGGAAAAGAAGAGCCGATAGAACTAGAGAAAAGGACAGGAATGGATGTCTTAAGGACAGAAGGACTTCATCCACTGTCACAAGACCCCCCAGAGTCCTTGGAACAAACGAATGTGGATGTCTGTACACTCATCCCTTCCACATTGCTACTTTCCCCACAGCGGTTTTGATATATCATAAGTCGGCATAAGAAATTAAATGGGAATTTGGGGGGAGTTTTGTAGAAGCTGCAGAAAACACATGAAGGCCAGCAGATGGCACAGAGAGAGTTTTCAGAAATACATTAAATATATGTACCATATGATATAATATCAATATATTTTATCTTTTGATACTACAATGATTCAGACTTCTTCTTTGGTATGAAGGGAGGAACAAAACATTTTACACAGACTTTCCAGCTCGTGGAGGGGGGGCCATGCCCCTAACCCCCATGATGTGGAAGGGATAACTATACTCTCTCAACCACCTCCACTCCCAATGAGTGACTACAGATATCTGCAGATGGCCCAATGTTCTATATGCAACCCATACTAGGCTGCTGTGCTGAGTAAATGCCTTTTACTATTGCAAGAGATCTATTCTTCTATAAATATATATTTTTGTCATTCTATCACAATCATACATAAAGGGGAAAGTTCTTCCCTGACCAGATTGAACCCCCTCTTGTAACACAGATAAAACAGGTAAGCAAAAACATTCAACATAAAGAACATATCTAACAACGTGTATGGCTTTGGCTCTAGTTGTGCCCTGCCTCTCCGCTATGGGAAAGGAAGCATGTTTCATAATCTGCTCCTTGGAATCAGTGCTGGTTTTTCAAAACTCAAGAGTTCAACTTTCTCTTAGAGATCTTGTCATTTATATTGCTGTCTTTCTGTAGATAGCTCTTTTGGTTATGCCCCATCAAAGTTTCACTATTGTTGGATTCAAGGAATTGCAAACAAGTTAACACAATCTTCAAGGATTTAGAGATGACAGGAACTTCAGAAATCATCTAGCTCAATTCCCTTTTTAACCTTAATGATTCTTAACTATCAACTCCCATAAATTCCCCAACGGGGCTCTACCATGAAGAATGTTGACATATGCAATAAGCTGAAGGTTTTCCTTGTGATTTCTTGACATTATACAGATAACAATGGAGCACACAGGTCATCTATCAGTTATTCCTATCAATTCCCTCTTCATGGATACTCTTGATACATATGTTTTATTAGTCTCATAAATATTTTCTAGATGGGAGGTAGGCATGGTTGCTCAGTCATTAACTTTTTATTGGTCTTCAAAATATTCAAGGGTTTTTTTTGACACCTTACATATCTTCCCTTCCTTTCGATACCTCATGAACTGATCTCTCAATGCCCTCATAATTGTACAACCTCCAGCATGGATCTCCTCTAGGTACAATTAGTCGAATCCAGTTACTTTTAGTATATTTGTTCTCTTTATATGTCATTTCCCTCTATTCAATGAACACTTCAGGGACAGTGAAGTTAGAGTCTAAACGCTATGGTTCCACTTCCCTTGAGAGCTAAAAGATTTAGTTGCAAAAATCTTTGCAGATCATTTCCATCCACCTTCTGCTACTCTCCTTTCATTTTTATCTTTAAATGCCTTCAGGGTGATTATTTAATTGGGTCCCTTACCAAGCTTTCTTTCAAATGATTCCCCCACATACTTCTTTTCTGTTTTATAAAGCAATACTGCTCATAACTTCTTCTGTCCTTCACCACAAGATTTTTCCAATGAATTTGTATTCTAAACCAGTAAGGGCCCTTAGCTACCATATCTCTCCACTCTGACAAGCAAATCAAATGTTTGCTGGTGAAGGCATTTTTAGGCTTTTTAAAATCCTCATTATAGTCCTCAACTTATACCAACTAAACTTTTATTTGAAATTATTGTAATCATTCTCTATATCCTTTCTCCTGTCAATATCTTATTTATTATCAATAACTTTTCAATAAGCTGAAGTAGTATTCATTATACATCATCTTGTCTTCTTTTTCCTTTTTCCTTCTAGCTTTGTAGAAATTTTAACCTTTGCTCAAAAGTGGTGGTAGTTTGACTCTCCGTGTAACATGATGATAAATGATTTAAGAATTATTTCTACATCAGAAATAAGTCATTTCTTGTCCACTAAAATATATTCATTTTCACTTTTTGTAATGTCATTCAGTATTTACTATTTCCAGAGCCTTTCAATTCTTTCCTCTAAGAGGGTATTCATAATGTCTAAGCATGAGACTTTCATAATGTATAAGCATGATGTTTCTGTGTAGTTTACAAGTCTCCGGTTTCTCTCAGTATTTATTTCTGATCCATATTTTCCAACAAATTTTTCACCATCTCTACCTACCTTTGTATGAAAGTCAGCAAGTATCAAAGCATATACTGATTAATTTGGAGGGTCTCGTATCAAGTTCTTCACAGAACTCTTTATCTTCTCCAACAAATGTTGATGCATAAGCTGCAATTATTTTCATGGTGGTCTTTTTCCAAATATTTATTTTGAGCACCATGACATGTGATTACTGAATACCCCTTAAAGTGATGTTTCTTGTTACTTTTGGATGCATTATAAATCCAATTCTGCCCAATTTCTTTATGTTCCTCTCCAAAGAAAATCTGTGAGCCAACTTTACATTTAGATGCAACTGATGCCTTTTAGTTTCCCTCTTAGCAAGACTGTCAAGATAATACAATTTAGTTCCTCTGGTAGTTTGACCATCCTTTGGACATCAGACAAGGATCTCACATTTAGAGTAGCAATAGCCAAATTAAAGTTATAGGTGGGCAAAAAAAAATGGTGTGATTCTTTTTTGTTTGTTTGTTTTTGGTTTTTTGGGTTGGTTTTTTTTTTTTGGTTTTTTAGGCAATTGGGGTTAAGTGACTTGCCCAGAGTCACACAGCTAGTAAGTGTCAAGTGTTTGGTCTGAGGCTGAATTTGAACTCAGGTCCTCCTGACTTCAGGGCCAGCACTCTATCCACCGCGCCACCTAGCTGCCCCAAAATGGTGTGATTCTTATCACCCTTTGCCCATTTTTGTACTATTTTGCCAGTGTTGCTGCAGAAGTGGAAGGAGGCCACACAAATATGAAGGCCATTTTTGTATGTTTCTTTGTTTTATGGGTTGCCATGATCTTAGAATTCATCACCAAGTAACTAGGCTGCTGCTGCTGCTGCTGCTGAACCTCTTTGAACTTGGTTCTAGAACCATATCTGAAGTCTTTCTTACATAGTAGAAACTGCCATAGCTTAGACTTTATTGACATGGCTTCTAATAACTTAGGGTTACCTCTATAGCATGAGGAGGCATCAGAGTAAGACTTTATGGGGGATCTACAGCATCACTCTCATTTTTAAAATGTCTGTTCCAAGAAGAATCTTAAGGTCATTAAAATCACTGAACAATTTCACAAAGACAAACCACCCCCTTCTCATTCTCTTGTTGAATTTTGAGATTACTACATTGACCATTTGTAGCATAATACACAAGATCTATGGGCTGTCCATCCGACTGTATATCATAGTCTCAACAACAGAGATTTTTTTTCCATTTGTTTCTTCTTGTGTGCAGCTAAGCCAGACTCTTTTGGATATCAGCTAAGAGGTGGGTCATGAAGAAATTAGAACAGGAACATCTAGAGAACCTCACTATCTTTAGAAAATCCCTCTCTGATTTGAACCCTATATCAGACATCTTCCTATGGTGTATTGGATAGAGTTTTGGACTTGGAGTCATGAAAACCTGAGTTCAAATATTTTCTTAGACATTTACTAGCTGTATAACCTTTGGCAAGTCATTTAACCATTCTCAACCTCAGTTTCCTCATTTGTAAATGAGGGGTTGGAGTTGATGGCTTCTAAGATCCCTTGATACCATTACAAAGGCAGGCATCTTGAGTGAGCATCTGTCTGTTTATATCAACTGATTTTATCAATGTGGCATAGTAGATTATGAGCTGCTCTCAAAGTCGGGGAAACCTAGGTTAGAAGTTCTGCCTCTGACACATACTGTCTATGGGAGCCCTGGCAAGTTATTTAATCTCTCAGTACTCTAGGCAACTCTCTAAGGCCATGAGTCACAAAGAAGGTGCCAACCTGCGTTAGAAAAAGAAATTCCTTACTGGGAGTTCCCTGCACCAGTAAGATATTGATAATCAGAGCATCATCACGGTAAGTTATTGTTGTTTTTACAGTTTTCATAGACTCTTACATGATTCTGACAGACGCCTGGGAGATACTTCAATAGGGGAGAATCTTCAAAGTGGCATTTTGCTTGACAAAATCAAATACTTTTTAGTAGCAAACAATCTTCACAGTAGGATTGTTTTCTCTACGCCTTTCAGTCAATGTTGTGACTATAAAGATGTAGTCTGCTGTAGGATATCATTTGTGAACCCTGCCCATTTCCTTCTCATGACCTCATCAAGAATGTCCTCCATGTATTTACCTTATTCTCACCAAGAAGGGAGAGTAGATGCAAGAGTTGGTAGTTACTGATAATCTTTCAGTTATGTTTTTGGGGGTACAAATAAGGTCCAAGCTGTTTTTCTGAGCCTTTAGTATCCTTCTGTCTTCCAGATACCTTGAGAATTAATCCCTCAAAGTTCTCAATATTGGTCACCTTCAGTAAGGTTCTCTTCTGTATATACTTGACCTGGCCTGCTCAAAATTAGCATGTATTACTCTGCACATAATTTTGCATAGAGTTGACAAAATGTCTGAATATTTCTATGGCCCAGTATTGCTTTCCTTGCAGGGTTCTGTAAACCATTTTTTTTTTCCAGACACAACAAAAACTTCACTCATGCTTGTCAGGATAGATTAAATTAGTCTGGAAGGCTCCTGGTTGGACTGTATAGTATTGCTGTCATGCTGTGGACAATTATCTCCTTCAAACTGAGCAGGTATACTACCCATCTCCATAACATCACCTCTACACCCCCTCCCTTACTCTCCAGTCTTCCCTAACTCACTGTCATGCCAGCAATTAAGTAGCAACCCCAAGGGGATGGATTGCTAAAACTATCGATCTGGTCTAAGCTGAGTCAGTCAAAGTCCCTGCTGTCCAAATCTTTAGTCCTACACCCTCCACTGGTGTGGAGTCTCTCTCCCCCTGCCCCTCTTCACTGTTAACTGGAGAATAATGATGCCTAAAGAACCTCCCTGCATCTCTCCTAGGCTTTTATCATACCTCAAAAAAGTCCCAAAGGGTAACTTACGTTTAGAAAAGAAGTCATTCAGAATAGTTTGGAGTTCATTGGCACTGACCTCAGAATCCTAGAAAGGAGAATCCAAAGACTGATCAGGTCTTGAAAGTATTTCACAATGTCAGATGGAAGTGGGATTCAGATGAATCCATTTGTGCCCTGTTTTAAAGCAACTGAAGTTTTTTAAAAATTAAATTCTCAGCCACCTCCAAGATTTTCAAAAAATCTGAACTAAGATGGGTACCGATGATGATGGTGAATCCTGTGTGTTTCCACATGATATTGTCATTCAAAGCTTTCTGTATTTGACAGAGGTTGATTATACCCTATTGATTAAATCCCAAAACAGAGGAAGCAAAGGCTTTCTAGGGCTAGCCTTTTAAAACTAGTAAGCAGAGATTTAGAGAAACAAAATATCTTGTGTAAATTTGGAGTGGTTAGGCAAATTTTGTTTAATAATTTCATGTATATATATCCCTTCATAAGTTACAAAGTGCAGCAATTCTGTGAGTTGAATGCATTGCAAGTATTTTCTGTTTCCATCTTATAGTTGAGGAAGCAGATTTTCCTCATGCTATAGATGACCCCTTTGGATTCTGGTAAATCTATGGACCCTTTCTCAGAATAACGGTTTGTTATCTCTGCTTGTAACTGAAGGGAAATGCCAAATTTCAATTAGAGGTTATTGGGGAAAGATGTAATTCCTCCTATTCCAGTTCACAGACCCCCTGAAATCTATCCATGAATTCCTTCCAAGGATGCTAAGGACCCCTGACTTAGTGGAACCTTTTTAAAAGGAACTTTAAAATTTTTTTCATGATTGCACATGTAAAAACCATATTGGATTGTTTACCATCTCAGGGAAGGGGAGGGGAGGGCGGGATAAAATGCGGACCTCAAAACTTTTTTTTAATATTTTTTAATTATCTTATGAAATTAGGAGAAAAATAAATTATATTTAAAAAGGAACCTTAAATTACTGAAGAAATGTAATAGAAAGAACATAGCATTGGTTTTAGGGTTAGAGTCAGGAGAGACCTGAGTTTCAACTGCCTCCAACTCTCACAAGCTTTCATACAGAAGCAAGCCACCCAATCTCTCTGAGTCTCAGCTCCCTCACCTGTAAAAATGGCAATAATGATACCCCTATACCTCCTTACAGGACTGTTGTGAACATCAAATTATAACGTAGAGCCCTTTGTAAACTTTAATATACTCATAAATGTCAGCTAATATTCTTCGTCATAATAGCTATACAAAAGATTCTGTTCCTGGGCCTTTTTCAAGGAACCCAAAGTGTTTTCATCTCTCTGCATCACCAAATCTAGAAATATGTGCCAAACCTTTCCGAAGAGCTGGGCCCTTTATTTCTTTCCACTCCCAAGGCCCCCAGGACATCTTACTCTCCACCCAAGAGTAAAGCTTTTGCTGTAAGCTTGTAAGCGCTGTTCCCAGCTCTGTCTCTAACTTGCTTCATGGCCTCTGTGTTGCTGTGACAATCAACAAGCGAGCACAAGCTGGGATGGGAGGATCAATGGAAAGATGCTTTCTCTTTTCCATGAAGGACGTATGTGCCCATACTCAGGTGCTTTGGTACAGGTTTTAATTCAGGAGGCAGAATGAACAGTTTGTCCTCTATATGCAGCATCAGAAACAAAAAGGAAAGAGAGGCAGGCAGCATCTTCAGCATGTTAAACTCGGGGCGAGTTGACTCAGCTCTCTTTACACCTGCACTGTGCTGCTATTCCTTCTTCTTCTGAAGGGTATTGATTGAAAAAGAATTCAGCTGCTGAGGCTCTGTAGCCAGAGGCCTGAAACTGACAGGGCCAATTTACAAGAGGAGAAAGGTTTTGGCAGAACCTGCGTGATTGGGGTTTGCTATTTACTCAAGAGAGAGGGCAGCCCCAGAAAGGAGATAAAGCACCCTAGAACGAGCAAGCCCTAGAGGACTACATGGGAGTACTGGTCTGTGAACTGCTGGGATTCTCAGACGATGAACTCTCTGATGAAAAGGACCGGGAGACCCAAGACGGGCTACATCAGGAGGCGGTGCCTTCTTGAAGTGAGCAGAATCTCCCTCCTGGGAGGGCTGTGGGGAGGGTCAGGAAAGAAAGGGGAGAACGAAGACTTAAAGAGAAGGCGGCATGGTGTAGTGGATAGAGTGCTGGACTTGGAATCAAGAAGGTATAGGTTCAAATCCCCCATCTGACACTCGATAGACACGTGACTCTGGGCAAGTCACTTAACATCTCTGTTTCCTCACCTGTAAAATGAGGAGGTTAAACTAGATGGCCTCAAAGGTCCCTTCCGGCTCTAAAATCTATGATCCTTGAAACTATTCACAGCAGTCTGGGGAGTCTTACTCATTCCCAAACTCACCTCCCCAGCACGCTTCTCAAACAGGCTCTTGAACTGGTTCTTCTATGTGTAGTCTCTCACTGGGATGGGGCTAAAACGAAGGGAAAATGCATGCTGATCAACCCAAGGACAAGGGCAAAGACAACAAATAACTAGTTCCAATTTATGTAAAGTGATTTACTAACCTTAAAGTACTACAGAAATGTAAGCAATATTTTGTTATGGAGGGGGAGCCAGAAAGCTAGGAGTCAGCTTCTCAGGGATGAGAGGAAGGGAATTCCCGTGCCTCTTCAACACTGAGGGTAGGACAAATTATCTATAGAGAAACTAACCTCAACCAGCAGAGGGAGCACTTTGGTCCCATGGAAACTAGGGGTCTGTCCAGATAGAGCTGAACAGCAATTCCAAGCAATGCGGGGGACATGCCATACTGCCAAGAAAACAGCAATGACAGCCCACTTTTATGTAGTGGTTTAAGGTTTATGAAAAACTTTCTCCACAATCTGCTTATGAGGATATTAGGCAGAGTTTCAACCCCCACTCAAAAAAAGGGTGGGCATACACAGATTACTCCCAAGAGATAACTAGGCAAAGAGTATGCTGCCCTCTGAATAACACATCTCAGTCAATGAATCAATCAGGATCATTTATATGCTGTTGAAAGCCTGCCTTAGAGTCAGCTTTCTGCTCCCCCTTCCCCCCCACACACACACAGACATTACTAGTTTTGTGATCCTGGGCAAGTCACCTATTCTCAGCCTCAGTTCCCTCATATGTAAAATGATGGGGTTATACCTGACCACCTCCAAGATCCCCTCCAGCTCTAAGTCTATGATCTTAAGATCCCTGGGCAAATTACTTAAAGTGTCCCCAGGCAATTTTCTAAGGCTGTAAGTTGCAGAGAAGGTAGTAATGTGTTTTGGTCCCTTATCACCAGATGCCTGTAGGTGGGAAACTGAGAAAACTGAGATAAACAGGGTCAGTCCCAGAGTCAAACAGCTGGTAAATGTCTGAGGCTGAATTTGAACTCAGGTCTTCCTGATTTTAGACCCAGTATTCTACCCATTGTACCACCTAGTTGCCTCTAATACAAACATGAAAGAAGGATATTGCATAGCTGGGTTCTGGTATTCTCCAGGGTATTTTTGTTCTAATTAGCTCAGAAAAGGTTATGTTACAGAGAGATGGCAAAAAGCCACATATCCAAAGATTTCTGTGAATGAATAAATGAATGAAAGGAAAAAAGGGCATGTATGAAGTATTTCCCCCTTGCCAGACACTGTGCTAAGTGCTAGGGATGCAAATACACAAAAAAGATTATCCCTGACCTCAAGGACCTTATATTCTAAAAGGGAGAGACAATACATCTGGGGAATGGTAGACAGAATAGGTTGTTTCTGCCACAGAAAGTGCATCTTTACATATTGTACTTGGCTTACGAATGTCAGGAACCCAGGATCCGGGCAACTACGACGGTACTAACTTCTACACAGTGACTCCCACAGAAAATGTTCGCGTCTGTGGAGGGATTCAGAGTAAGCAGAAGAAGAAAGCACCAGGGAAGAAATGCGTGCATTTTCCAGTAAGCATCCTTGATAAGAAACGCCGAAATGTCGAAGATTAGATATTCCTTGGATTAAAAGGGCAAGAAATGATCTCATGAATCTATGACAAGAAGACACCTTCCACATCTAATTCTTTGCCAGGGGAGGAAGCATGTTCCTGTGTGTGACACCCAGCCAGCAAAAGCAAAGCCCAGCGTCAGTAATGTGTAGGATATAGCTGCAGCCACAGATGTCTCAGTCTGTTCTCTCTTTGAAACGTACCAGGGGATCCTTTAATTTCTGAGTGGGCATGGAAGCAGACGGAACCGGGGCTGTGAAATATAAACTACTGATGCTAACCTCCCCCTCCTGCCCTCAGAACCCTCATGTCTCTCCCTGAAACATCACTGCCTATACCCAGGACTCAGCCCAGCTCTTGTGATGCTCCATCCCAGAAGGACAATAACATGAGCTAAGCAGCATGGGCCTCCTCATTAGAGTCAAAGGATCACCATCCAAGGACTAATACATACAAAAGGGATGGTTAGCAGCTCTATCCTGAAGCTCCAGATGCCAAACTCTATCCATTGTCTTTAAAATTCTGCTCTATAACTCATCTCCTCAAGAGGCTTTCCCAAACTGAGTCTCCCCAGATGATTCCATTCCCCCTAGCACTCACCTCCATAGAATCATAGACTTATATAGTCTCAGAGAAGGAAGGTACTTCAGAGGTCGTATACCATACATACATGCCCAGCAGCTAGGTGGCAGTGTAGAATTCTGGACTTGGGGGTCAGTGGGATCTGAGTTCAAATCCTCCCTCAGACACATACTTAGCTGTGTGACCCTGAGCAAGTCATTTAATCTGTGTCATCCTCAGTTTTCTCATCTGTAAATGGGGAATAATAATAGCATGTGCATTACACAGTAGTTGAGAGGATCAAATGAGATATGGAAGCACATTGCAAAATACTACATAAATACTATTCACATGCAGCCCTAAAAGTGCAGGTACCACAAGTCAGCTAGGTGGTGCAGTAGATAGAGTGCTGGGCCTGGAGTCCAGAAGACCTGAATTCAAATCTGGCCTCAGACACTTACTAGCTGTGTGATCTTGGGCAAGTCTCTTAACCCTGTTTGCCTCCATTTCATCATTTGTCAAATGAGCTGGAGAAGGACACAGCAAACCACTCCAGCATCTTTGCCAAGGAAAACCCCAGATGAGATCACAAAGAGGCAGACATAACTGAAACAACTGAATAACAAACTGCAAGGCAAGGACAATATTTATTGATCTCCAGGTGGGTATTCTCTGACTGAGAGGCAGCCTCCATGGGGACTCGAACCCTTGCCTTGGGGTCAGGAAGACTTGGGTTTGAGTCCTAATTATGGTTACCATGGGTAAGTCAATTGCTTAAGTGGCTTGAAAGGTTTCTCAAGGCCCCAGACCACTCATTAAGAACATAAGTTACCCAAGGAAATGAGATCACAGTCTGAACCAAAAAAAAGGAAAAAAAAGAAAGAGAAAGAAAGAAATGCCTGGTTTTGTTTGTTTTTTCATCTGCCATTCATCCTTCCACAAGGCCTCTCAAGGGCAAGAACGCGGCGTCTTCTTCTTCCTTGGTGATGTCCCTCAGTACATGGTATGGTGCTCAGCACACAGTGGATTTGTGAGGCTGACAGACTGCATAAAGGGGCATTCATCACTCCAGCCAGTGGAAAGAACATTAAATTGTGTTCCTTTAGGGACAGCCAAGACCCTTGGAAAGACTATGGCTTCACAGCTCCTTCAGAGCCTCTTCAGACTCAGCCAAACAATGTTCCACAACTATTAACTTTGATTTTGACCTTCACTGACATCACCCAAGATAGATTCCCCCAAAGAAATTACCCTTGCCCTCTCCGAAAAAAAAAAATTAGAGTAGAGTTTCTGAAAGTATTTTGTGTGTATGTATTCTGGAAGCTATGGAATGTATTCTGTATGTATTCTGGAAGGTACAGTGAGTGGATTGAGTGCTGGGCCCTGGAGTCAGGAAGACCTGAGTTCAAATCCAGCCTCAAACACTAGCTGTGTGACCCTGGGCAAGTCACTTAACCCTGTTTGCCTCAGTTTCCTCATCTGGTAAATGAGCTGGAGTAGGAAATGGCAAACCACTTTGGTATCTTTGCCAAGAAAACCCCAAATGGGGTCTTGAAGAATTGGATGTGACTGAAATGACTGAACAACAACAAAATTAGTTATTAGTGATATTTATGAACCCCTTCTCCAAATGTTTTAATTGCCTACATTTATAATTGAAGGATATGTTAAATTTAAGTTAGAAGTTAATGAAAATACAGTTGTATTTTTCCCATCCAAGTTCACAGAACCCCTGAAACCTATCAATGGACCCCTTAAGGGACCATGAAGCTCAAGTTAAGAACCCCTGGTTCTGAATGGGTGCTTACCTCATATGGCTTTCCAGCTACCACGTCTCCAATTTCCCTGAAACGCAAATACTCACAGGAACAAAATCAACATAAAAAGGCCAGAGAGTCCAGCTAAAAATTGTTCTTCTCTGGGGTCATTCTAAACTATGGGGAAGGGGGGAGGTGAAGAGAGAAAAGGAATTTCCCTCCTAAGACTGTTTCCCAACTTCACAAACTAAACCTTAAGTCCCCTTACTGACAGAGATCTTTAACCCTTTACATGCATCCCTTGAGGGCATTCCTGTACTATAGGCACCAAGCATCAAGTTCAGCCAGCTCCCTCAACATTTCTAGGATGATACTCTCTTTTAACCCCATGGACCACTCTGCCAAGAAAGTCTTTTGAAGGGCTCTGTTCCATGGCTAAGAACCCCAGTTACCACCCTTCTCTTTCCCTTGGGACAATTCTTTGCCTAGAAAGGTCTGTTACATTAGTGACAACACCAAGAATCCCCATCACATGTTTTGGATGCAGCACAGAAAAGGTGTTTTCTTGTGCCATCTGGAGTGAGATTCTATAGCTTAAGTGCTCTTCCTATTAAGTGGAAACTCTCCTGGCTGGATTGCTGCCTGTGCTCTTCCTCAGTCGGACTTCCAGCCCCCACTCCACATGTTGCAATACATGTGAACTTTCTTCTCCTTTGACTTTCCTACTTATGTCAGGGGCACCATTCACTCAATCTCTTGTGTCCAAAACTTCGCTGACGTCTGATTCTTCCTTCTCTTTCATCCCTGCTCCTGCCCTGTCCCTGTATCCAACTAGCTGCCAAATTCTGTCAACACAGAATCTCTGTGAAATCTCTCAAATCTATCCCCCTCCTCTCTATTCCCTTTGGTTAACAGGGCTTCCTTACTCCTATCAAGACTATTATAACAGCCTTCTGTTGGGCCTTCTCTCCCTACTCCCCACTCCCTGCTCTGCACTGTAATACCCAATGGTGCTTCACACTGCTTCTAAACTGAGCAGTCTTCTTAATCTCATCTGTACCTCTCCTCATCAAAACCCTTCAATGATTCCTTACTACTACATACCCAAACAAAATTCAGATTCCTTAGCCTGGTACACCATGTAGGACCCTTTTTCACCCAACCCCCCACCAACACATACTGGAGTCCCACTCACCCAGATCCCACCAGGATATCTCTTTCATCACAGGGCATTTAAGAACCATGGACAGAGTCTTTCTATCAGCCTTGAAACTGAATTCTTCTCTCTCCAATTAGAATATAAACTCTGGACTTTATCACTTCACTAGCTCTATTCCCAATTCTCAGCACAGTACCTGGCACATATTAAATGCTTAAGAACTGCTCTTCCATTTCATACTACCCTACCTTTCCAGTTTTATTTCACACATAGCCTATATATACTATATGTAATACCTTCTGTTTCCTGGCCCTGTGCCTTTCTCATGTCATTTCATGCCCATATCCTTGTTATTTCTGCCTATTTAAATAGTATCCATCTATTAAAGCTCATCTTAAATCTATGCAGTCTTCCCAATTCATCCCCTCAGGAGTTTAAATACATTTTGTACTTCTCTTGTTAAGTCAAGTCAGCAAACATTTATGAAACACCTACTATGTAGCAGGCACTGCTCTAAGCACTAGGGGAAAACATGGTCCTTGCCCTAAAGGAGTTTACAATCTTGCATTATAGTTATGTATGTTTTGCATCTCCCTACTATACATAAGTTCCATGAAGAGAGATGCTATGTTTTATTTATCTTTCTACCTCCCCCAGTGTCCACCATAGTCTTCTGTATATAGGTGGCAATTAATAAATGTTTGTTGACTGAATCAATGAATAAATGGAGGGGACTCACCAGTCCATGGGCCCTTGGGAACTATTATGTCTGTCATCATTTTATAGATTCGGATTTTTCTAGTTACCCCTATAGATGCCCTGTTGGAAACTTCATTAATTTGGCAAGCAGACTCTCAGCACCCCAAATAACAATTGGGATCTTCCTCCCAGCCTCTAGTAATTTCCCTGCTGGAAACCTTTACACTCAGGCTTATTATGCTAGCACATGGACAAGCTCATACAGGGACTTGGCTTCCTTCTCTGAGAATATTCTCAGGCAGAACTCTCCATCCTTGAATGGCTCAAAGGTTGAAGGCACCACCAGGTACTCTCCTACAGGAAGGTGGATCCGCGTAGAAACTTCTCGAAGATTAATGTATGCCGGGGTTTGAGCAGCAGGCTGATGTCCCAAAAAGAAGTCCTGGCTCAGATGTACTTCTGTGTGGTTCTCCAGCTGTACAAATCAGCATTTAGAAAGTCATTTTTTATAGAATCATAGATGTTGAATTGAAACGGACCTCTGAGGCCATCTAATCCAATGCCCTTCTTTCACGGATGAGGAAGCAGAGGCTCAGGAAGGTTAAGTAATTTGCTCAAGATCACTCAGATACTAAGTATAAAGAAGTGAGATTTTGGACCTGGGTCTTCACTCCAAAGCCAGCCTTTCCACTTTACCATGATTTCTCTCCCTGTTAGAAGAGGAGACCAGAAAAGTCTATCCAAATATTATAGTTTGGAGTATTCTCATTTTGCTTATTTTTTAAAGTTTAGGTAGATATTTGTTTCTATGAGTCCTTTAGCTAACACATATAAGCCATTATTCAGACATTTAATTTGGTTAGCAATGTAAGTTTAAATCCTGAGCTCTCAAGGCAAAAAATTTCAGAAATGGTCCACTTGTCTTTTATTAACTGCCAAACAAATAGATCTCTGATAAGGAGGTGGCCCCCATCTGTTCACAGATGGAGGATATAGTTGGGTAACCTGTTATTGACACCATGTGGCCAAGACTAGCTGAATAGTTAGGTTGAATGACTGATACTAGAGCCTAAAGATCTGGACCCCTGGCCTCTGATTCTGCCACTGACTCCCTCAGTGGCCTCTGATAATGTCATTTCCTCTCTATGGGCTTCACTTTATTGACCTGTTAAATGATGATAGATGGGGTCAGTAACCCAGCACCTGTTGAAGGAAGTGGGGGGGTGGGCATTAAGGGGTGGGGTCATTGTTGAGTCTGTGAGACATACTAATTAAGGATTGCAAGATGCTTTGAAAACACATGTCAAATTATTATTACTGTAATTAAGTCTCCTTTTAGCACTTTATCTTCCCAATTAATCATCATAAGATGATGATGACTATTTGCACCAATATCCTGGGGCTTCTGTGTGACCTGGAGCTCAGCTGGCCAGATAAAATATAGGAGAGGGGCTTTCCATCGCTGGTCACAGAATCTCCTTATTCCTCCCTACCCCCAAGTCTATTTAAACACAGGACACTGGAAAGGAAACCCAAGTCCCACCCCACCCCCATGCCAGGGAAGCATCACAGTACCATGGAAAGAGTCTAGATTTAGAATCAGATGGCCTGGGTCCACATCCCAGCTCTATCACTTGATACCTGTGTGATCTTGGACAAGTCACTTAACCTCTATGGCTTTGATTTCTTCTCCTGTTAAATGAAGAGGTTGAACTAAGTTCCCTTCCAGCTCTGAGTCTATAATCCTATTATCCATATACTGAAATATTTTCTATAGGGGATCATCCCAGGTCATCTATCCTCCTTCCAAACACTCAACTTGAGAAACCTGTGCTCCATGGACGGGGTAACTGTGAGGTCATGGTCACTAAGGCAGCAGTGCTAGGTAATGTCAGGGAGTTAAGCAAAGTCATCATGGTTAATAGTGCAGGGAGGTGTCAGAAAGAGCAGAAAGCAGGAGGCAGTTTGGGTTTAATATACTAGGATTGTAACAGCAAACTCTATCTGCGATTGGGGTTGGGAAGGGTGGAAGCAGTTCTTACAAGGGTACTGAGTGCAGATGAAGAACGCTGTTCACAGTCTCAGAAAAGGAAGGAAATCTGACAGTGCCAACCCTTCTGTGTTCTATTGTTTTCAGAACAGCCACAGGATCGGAAAACTTAGAATTGAGAGAGACCTTAAAGATCATGCCATCCAATTGCACCATTTATAGCTCAGGAAATTGAGGCTTAAATCAATCAATCAATCAGCATTTATCGTCTACTAGGTACTATGCTAGGTGGAGTGGGGGAGTGTACAAAAAAATGAGACAATCTGTACTTGCAAAGAGTTTATATTCCAATAGAAGAGACAAGTACATGTATTGGTATATATAGGATATATTTAGAAAGAAAGAAATATAATGTAGCTAATGACTTGGGAAGAAAGCTACCCATAGTTGCAAGGAATCAGGAAAGGTTTCATGTAGAACATGGTGCTTGAACTGGGTCTTGAAAGGAGAAGACTCTATGGAGAGAAGGTAAGGAGGAAGTGCATCCCTTCTAAAGAAAACAGCCAATAGAGGTGGAGTGTCATATGTGAGGAACAGAGAAAAGGCCATTTTCGCTGGATCACAGCATAGAAGGGGGAGTAATGTCCATGATGTTAGAAAGAGAGGTTAGGGGAAGGTTATGAAGAGTTTAAAAACTAAATAGAAGAGCTTGTTGGGGTTTTTTGCCCAGAGACACTAGGAAGCCACCGGAGTTGATTGGGAAGGGGAAGAACATGACCAGATCTGTGCTTTAGGAAATCACTTTCATAGAAGTGCATAAGATAAACTGAAGTTGGGAGATCAATTAGAAGGCCGTTGCAATAATCTAGTTAAGAGAAAATGAGGGCCTAAGTTAGGGGTGGTAGCAAAGTGAGTAGTGTGTGGAATGCCACTCAAATTAAAAATAAAACAAAACACAGAGGTGTCCAACAAGAAACAGAAAGTTAATTTATTATTGATTATTATTATTCAAATCTTGAGATTTGGGTGTCCCCACATCAGTGGCTCTGATGAAGGGAGACAACCTACAGAGGTAGAAGTTAGTTTATATAACCCTGAAGGTTCAATTCCCCCTACCTCACGGCTGTCCGTTAACTCAGCTAAAAATTTGCAGTTAGGAAGATAATTTACAATTGTTTTGGAAGGTCTCAGGGATTGAACAGATAATGCTGGGAACAGAAAGACATCTGAATAAGACCCTGTCAAAGGGAGATAAGAGGACTTGAACATTTAAGGGTTTTCCGGGGCTTGGGACAAAAGGCACATCTGGATAAGATCAGAAGGCAGGCCAGGGCTTAACAACTAGACAAATTTTAACTGCTAATATCTGGCACTAAAAAGAGAAGATCTTACAGTAATCTATTCTTAACCCTATCCTACCCTCTGAACTCATTACCTTAATTACACTGAGAAGTCTTCACTGGGACATCTCATTCAGTAGTAAGTCAGATGTCATGATGTTGTAGAGAGAGAAAAGGCAAGATTTAGCAACTGATTGGATATGGGGGTGGGGGGAGAGTAAGGAGGAGTGAAGAATTCAGGAAAATGCTGAGGTTATAATTCCAGGAGACTGGATGGATGGTGGCACTTTTGACAGAAATAGGAAAGTATGGGAATGGGGAGCCTTAGAGAGGAAAAATAATGAGTTTGGCTTTCGACATATTGTCCTTGAGAAGTCTCTGGGATATCCATCTACACCCACTCAATCAGATGAGTTAACAAAAGGTCACTTGGGTAGCAATGAGCAAACCTGAGATTTTAACCTATCTTTTGACTCCAAATCCAATATGCTTTCTACCATACCATGCTTTTTGTTCCTTTTTAACAAAATTATTTTTGTTTGCTACCTATAATCCCATAATAGGGTCTCATTTGGTTATGGAAAGGACTCTGGATTTGAAGTATGGGGTGATATGAGTTCAAACCCCAACCATACAATTGACTAACCTATGACCTTGAGCAAATAACTTAATCTATCCCTCCCACTATAGCTCCCTCATTCGCAAATGAAAGGGGTTAAATTGATTGTCTCTATGGTCCCTTCCACTCTTAAGGATCGTAGATTTAGAGTTAAAAGGCATCTCCAAGTCAATTAGTCCAACCTTTTTGTTTCACAGAAGGAGAAGTTAAGTGACTCATCCAAGGTCCCACAAGTATTAAAGTGGCAGGGCTGTCTAAATCCTATGATTTGATCTCCCCGAACAAAAGGGAAATAAGAACCTAAGCCCCATAGCTCAGACCACCAAACCCACCACCCATATACAGACCATTTATCTGACACCCCAAGTGGCAGCTGTCTGGGAAAGTGGCACTGTGAATCCATGCCTCATGACGGGAACGTGCATTTGTAAGATGGGTAGGGGGACTGCCTGATGTATAGACGGAACCCATGGCTTTGTGCTCCTTCCAACTGAGCTGACCAGCCACTAGGAAAGACCCCCAAGGCAGAGGAAGATGGCTGAGCAAATACACCTGTGAGGAATTCATTAGCCCTTCTCTCCAGTGAGGAGAGGAAAATGCTGGTAAACAGAATTTCTTAGGACAAGGGTCTGTGTTGAGAACACTAATGGGAGAAAGTGGGGGAGGTGGGAAAGAAGGGAGTAGAGGAATCTTTGATTGAAGGAATGAGAAAAATGGATTTGGAGCTATAGGAATATAGTTTTGTAAAACTAGGACCTTCCAAGTCATCTTGTTCAACCCCTTCATCTTACAAATGAGGAGCCTGGGCCCTAGAGAGTTTAGAGAACTTTCTCAATTATGTGTCAGACCTAAAATTCAAACCCAAGTTCTCTGACTCTAAATCCAGAGCTCTTTCCATGGCACAAAAGTCAAAGTTGTAATCCTATCAGGTTGCTCTGAAAACCTCAGATGGTGAAAATGGCAACTGTGACATTCTCAGTACCAAAACAACAGACATTGGATTCTGTGACATTATAATGACCAAGCCTGGCCCCAAAGAAGAGATATGAAAAGGTACCTCCCTCCCTTCTTTACAGAGCTGGGAGACCTGGAATGTTGTGTACTGCATTCAATTTTATTGATGCATTGCTTTCACTAGATTCTTTTTTTATTTTTTGTTATAGGAGATGGCTCCTTTCCTAGAGGAGAATATATTGGAGAAAAGTAGGTGACATAAAAATGAAAGATATAAATAAAAATTGATTTTTTAAAAAGCAGAGTGATCTTTGGTTCTCGGGATCATTTGCTCTGATAAAGCAAATCTTAGACTTCATTCTAGAGAAGCAGCATGGTATAGTAGAAAATACACTTGGATTTGGAGTCAGGGGACCTGAGTTCAAATCCTGAGCCTGCTATTCATTACCTGTTAAAATTGAGGCAAGTTTCTTAACTTCTCTAGGCCTCAGTTTCCACACCCTGAAAAGTAAGGAGTTTAAACTAGATGACATGTATGGCTAGGTTGTGCAGTGGATAGATCACAGGGCCTGGAGCCAGGAAGACCAGAGTTCAAATCTGGCCTCAAACACTTACTAGCTGTTTGACCCTGGGCAAGTCACTTAATTCTGTCTGCCTCAGTTTCCTCATCTGGTAAATGAGCTGGAAAAGGAAATGGCAGACCACTTTGGTGTCTTTGCCAAGAAAACCCCAAATGGGGTCATGAAGAGTCAGATGTGACTGAAACGGCTGAACAACAACAAAGGCAATGATCCTATGATGCCAGAGAAGGAAAAAAAGGCAAAAGGCATGTGTTTTCTCTCCAAAAAAACCACAATTTTTAAAATGGATTTCCTTGTCCTGGAGCAAAGACACCCTTGTGTATTAGATGAATAGGGACTTGGTTCTCCTATAATTGTCTCTGTTCTCATCAGACTAATGGACCCAGAAGGGAATGATGCATCATCACCAAGTCTCTTCATCTGGATGCCTGTCTGGTGGGATGGGTGCCAATTGCCAGCATTCTCTTTACCAATTCTCTCCGTCAATGCCTCAGAGGCCTCATAAACTCAGAGGGTCTGTTTACATGAAATCCAACTTGAGTTAGAAGAAACCACAGCTGCCCTTCCACCCACATGAGCAGCAAGCTGCCATATGTTTCTTACCCACAGAAAGCTGATTGTCAACAGCTCACACGTACCTCTTTAGGGATCTGTAAGGCAGAGAGAAAGAAAGAACAGGTGAGGCAAGGGTTCCAAACACCTTCCTTTAAATGGCCAGGTCTGGGCCAAACTCACAGCCAGCTTCTCTCAAGGTGCCTTGCCCTCTCCCCCATCCTACAAAATGCACGTTATGATCTAGACTCACGGGTGAGTCTAGTCAGAGAGCTGGGATTGGATGGCATTTATGAAACTGGCAGCTCATGAGGGATTTCAGGGAGAATTGCCAAGAGAAATGCCAATAGGCAGAGATGAGGAAAGAGAGCGTTGCATTCATGGGAGAGAAATGGGCCAGTGAAAATGCCAGGAGTCAGCCTAGGATGGGTGGGCATGGATGGATTATGATCTGCATTTCTGAAGGAAACTCCCCAATTAGGGAGATCACAGATGCACTGGAGCATTTGGGAAAGGTCAGTTACAACAGTGCCTCGGACCATACACCATGCCCACAACCAAAAGTCTCTTTTCTCTAGCAGACTGTGGACCCAGCGCCCAGAAAATTCTCCATGAGCCTGTCCTCTGCCCCAGATGGCTAGCTCAGCAGGTGTGATAGACAGAGGAAGGGAAAATGGAGAGCAGGTCCCCTCTACAGAGAGTCCCAGGAAGGCTCAAGAAAGTCAGCTGGAGTCACCTGCCCCTCAACCCCTTCCTGCCTCCCAGACTGCTCAGGGCCGGCAAAGCTTGCTGCTAATGCAGAAAACAGTCGTTTCCATATGCTGCACAGCCATCTGCTCACAGCTTAAAACAATTACAGGAAACTGATCAACTACAATAAATCTCCTGGGGATGGGAGGGAGTCCCATTCAGTCTTTCAAAAAATATTTATTAAGCACACTGCAAGGCACTGTGCTAGGTGGTGAGAGACATAGAGATGAGGCCTCTGTCCCCAAAGAGCTGCCAATCTAATAGAATCTAGGAGAGAGAGAGACTAAAAAACCTCAGGCCCTCATATGTGAGAAACTCTGCTCTGCTTCCTTGAATTTGCTTTTGGCCACTTTAAGCAATATGATAAGTACAAAGGATACACAGAAGGGAGAGACCTATGAGATCACTTTGTCTCACTCTTACTTTAGACAGCTAGTGTGATACAGCGGATAAAGCAGAGAACTGGCTTCAAACACTCACTGGCTATGTGACCTCAGCTAGGAAGCCATAATGGCTGTGAGCCTCAGTTGTCTTACCTGTGAAATGGAGCCAATAACAGTACCTTCCTCCCAGGGTTGTAAAGCTCAAAAGCGATAAAGGTACATAAAGTGCTTTTTTTAAATACGAGCTATTATTATTATCACAGAAGAGGAAATTTGAAACCAAGAGGTGCTTAGTGATTTGCCCAAAGCCATTCAGGTAGAAAGTAACAAGAGTTGGGATTTAAACCCAAGTCCTCTGACTGCAAAACCCAATCTTTCCACCCACCCTGCTTTAACCCATGGAACAGGCTTCAACAAACTTGCCCTGAGTACAAGGACCTAGAATTCCACCCCACTCCCAACATCTGTTCCTATGAGTATGTCACTCCTCAATTCAAAAATCTTCATTGGCTCCCCATTGCCTACCAAATAAAGTATAAATTTCTGATCCTGGCATTCAGGGCCTTCTACATTCTGACTCCTGTCCTACTTTAGGTCATATTATTACTTCCTTTCCCAAGCCCTATAATACAACCTAGCTGAACTTCCCATTGCCATCTCTGTCCTATCCTCTCCCATCTCCACTCCTTTCCACCAAGAATCCCCTATGCGTGAAATTGACTCCTGCACCATCATCAACAATGCCCTCCTCTCTTCACGTTACCACCTCCTCCAAGAAGCCTTCCCTGCCCCCAAGGGAAAGTGTTCTCTTTCTCCTCAGCCTTTGGGTTGCATGTGGCCTAGATCCCTCCTTTGTACATACAAATTTCACTTCTTCTATATCCCAATTGTTTGTTTTTATATCTCTCCTCCCCCATACATGTTTGTGATCCTTCACAGCAGGACCTATGAGTTCACAGGATCATAGAACCAGAGCTGGAAGGGACTTCTAGGGCCCACTAGGCCAGGCCTCTCATTCTACAGATGAGGAAACTGAGCAACCCAAGGAGGCCCAAGGAGGTCCAATGATTTTCCAAGGTGATACTGTCAGAGTTGGGATCTGGAGATGGTTTTCTTTCCAATGAATCATGCTTCCTCCATCCATCTTTCCTCCCCAGCACCTTGCACAGAGTAGGTGCTTAATAAATGGTTCTTGGATTTAATTGCTTCAGGCCAATCTACTGCCCTTGCCCCCTAAATGAATCTTCCTTTGAGAATTCAATCCCTAAACTCACATATAAACAGTGTACAAGGTCAGGCTACCCCTGACACTGCCTTTTCCAGGAATGTGTAATTCATACGTCCCTTTTCAGCTGTCTCCAGACATTTTCTGAACTAAAATGACTACGCCTGCACCACCCTCATTTCCCCCTCCAGCTCTAACCTCTGCAAAGTAATGGCACCTGGGGAAGACTCATCCATCTTAAAGGTGCAGAGCACACTGTCAACACATTAAATCTGCCCACCCAAGTCACTCAGGAGGGAGTGCCCAGGGCACAAATTCTGTTCAGAGAGGCACGAAGGCTCTACCTTCACTGGTACTGGCTGATGGACAGAAAAAGACAGTCATCTTTGGAGGACAAATTCCAAAATAAAAATGGGCAGGCAGGCTTGCCATCGAGCAGAGCCCAGAGAGCTGAGACCAGTCATGCAAACATTGTAGGCCTTGGGGGGGGGATTCTAGTGAGCTCCACCATTGTCATATCCTCAATCTCAAAGGAAGATGCCGTTTTGCAGGCAGTTGGAGCACAGAAGGCAGATGCATGGGACAAAATATTGCGTTCACTGGACAGAAAATCCCATCCTCCACCAAAAAATGAAAAACAAAAACAAACCCACAACTGGCTTTTGAAAATACTTTTGTCTTCTTCACTCAGACTCAGTACCTCAGATTAAGGAGACTCTAGTCATAAGGAAAAGGACCCTATAGCAAATCACAAGAATCATCGTTGTTAGGATGAACTCAACACATCTGAAACAAAAGTCATGCTCATTCCTAAAAAACAGTACCACTTCCCCTTCTGAATTTCCCTTTCCCCCATCTATCTTTGTAGCCTCCAGGCCTGGCAATGTGCTTGGCACACAGTAGAGATCTAATAAATGTTTGTTGATTGAATAATAATAGCTGGCATTTATGGAGCATTTTCATGTTTGCAAATCAATTTTGCAAATCAATATATTATATTATGTTATATCATATCATGTCATATATATGGAGACTATTATAATAGTTCAGGTGAGAGAGGATGTGGTCCTGAACTACGGGAGTGGCTGGGTAAGCTGAAAGGTACAAATGCAACATGTTGCAAATATGGACTAGACTAGTCCCAGCCACTAATTTGATGTGAGAGGTGAGGTAGAGGGAAGAATCAATGATGACTCTAAGCTTGCCAATTTAGGTGAATGGCAGGACAGGAGGGTGCCCACCACAAAAAGGGGAAATCTTGGAGAATAAGAAGATGGGAGAATATGACAAGTTCTGTTTTGGGTGTTTAGATTTTGTAATGCCTACAGGACATCTAGGTGGAAACATTCAGAATGCAGTTAGCATGGTTGGTATTCAGGAGAGATTAGGGCTGGGCACATTGATTTTAGAGTAATCTATGTAAAGATGACCACTGGAGCCAAGGGATGGATGATGTCACCAAAGTAGAAAATTTAAAGAGAAAAAGAAAGAAGGCCAAAGACAGGATCTTTTGAGAAATCTACACTTCGGGGGTAGGAGATGGATGCTGATCCGGCAAAAGACACTGAAAAGAAACAGATAGTTAGGAGAAGAATCACAAGGGAGAAGTTGTGCTCAGGGAATGACAAGTAGGTCAGTTTGCCTGGAATATAGAATACAGGAGGGGAAGCAATGTGAAATGAGTCTGAGGACAGAGAGAGGAGCCAGATCGTGAAGGAATTTAAATTCCAGATAGAGAAGTTTATAGTTTATCCTAGCAGCAATAGGGAGCCAGTGAGGCTTCTTTAGTGTGGGAGCAACACAGCCAGATGCTCGTGCTTTAGGAATAACAATTTGGCAATTATATGGAGGATGAATTGGAGATGAGATTGACTACAGACTGTACACCCAATTGGTAGGCCAATTGGGCAGCTACAATAGTCGGGGAAGAGGTAACGAGGGCTTGAATGAGGGTGATCCTGCCTTTGTTAAACATACTGCCGGCAACAAATGTGCTAAGCCTTTCTGTGCTGCATTCTGAAGGGCACACAACTCTATGCTCTCCTTACATTATGATATAAGGAGAATGAGATAAGGGTAAAGAGCAGTTAGGAGGTGGAGTGGATAGAGTGCTAGATCTGGAGTCAGAAAGACTCATCTTCATGAGTTCAAATCTGGCTTCAGACGCTTACTAGCTGTGTGACCCTGGGCAAGTCACTTAACCCTGTCTGCCTCAGTTTCTTCATCTGTAAAATGGGCTGGAGAGGGAAATGGCAAACTACTCCAGTATCTGCACCAAAAAGACCCTAAATTGGATCACGAAGAGTCGGACACAACTGAACAACACCAACAAAAGAGAAATACAGGAAAACTACGCAAATCGGAAGAGGGAGAGACCACTCTCACTGAGGCGTCAGAGGTTGTTTCACAAAAGTGGTGGCGCCTGAGTTGGGCCTTGAAAGAAGAGGAAACCTTATGAAACTGAGGTTGGGGGATGGGGTAAGAAGTCCATTCTAGTATACCTGTGCTTAGGGAGAACAAAGATGTAAAGGTAAAAAAGGGGCAGTAGGCTTTGGATGAAAGTACATGAAAGGAAATACTATAAGACGAGGCTAAAAACGTAGCTTGGAGACAAACGTGGGGATTATTGAATGCCAGGATCAAGAATCTATATTTTCTTTTGTAGCTGACAGAGATTTTTTTTTTTTGAGTCAAAGAGCGCCATTATCTGAATGACCCATTGGGAAGTCTGCTTAGACACTGGTGTAAAGGTTGGATTGGAGAGGGGATAGACTGTAGGACTAATAGCAACATAGAAGTCTAAGTGAGAGGAAATGAGGCCATGAACGAAAAGAGACAGAGATAGAATCGAAAGAATATTGGTTTCGGAATTACAGTCCTGGTTCTCCCCTTTGCTACCTCTGTGACCTCAGGCTAGTCACTTCACCTTTTGGGATCCCCTCTATGAAATTAACAGGTGTAACTAGATCCCCTCCAAATTCCCTTCCAGCTCTGAATCTATGCTATGAAAGGTAACTGCCATGGGAATTGAGAGGATATGGACGTGAGATTTATTTCAGAGCTAGCATCAAAGGGACGTGGCAAATGATTAGACATGGAGGGGGGTAAAGAAGAGAAATGAATCCAAGATGGCTATGAGGTTATAAGCCTTGGTGAGGAGCAGAATGTGGGTATCATCAACAGAAACTGAGAAATTAAGGGTAGCAGCAGGCTTTGGGGAGAAAAATGATAAGTTCAGTTCAGAACATTTGCCAACAATAATGTTTGTTGAGTTTGTGTGCCTGCAGGACATCTAGATGGAGACAGATAGTTGGCAACTAGAAATACACGACTGAAATTCTTGGAAGAAATTAAGGATGAGAATATCAATTTGGAGGTCATCTTCATTGAGGTGATAATTGATGTCATGGGGGTGGATGGCATCAGCAAAAGGAAGCATAGAAAGTTAAAAGCAGAGGTCTATGTGCCCTTACCTGTTAAATGAGGAGAAAGAACTGAAGTTCCTTCCAACTTTGAATCCTCTGAACCTATGCACTTGACTTTGTGCTGCTTTGATTTTAGGTGAGAAAAAAAAGAAGTGAACTCAGTTTAAATCAGTCTCTTGATCTCAGTGTACTCAGCTCTACCTTCAATTCAGCTCAGAAACCTTTATATCTCCAAGATATCTTACCACCTAAGAAAGAAACAAATTTCCCTAAACTCTCAAATCAGCCACCAAAACCAAACACACCAAAAAAAGGTCCAGGAGTAAGAGAAAAACAGGGTTGGAGGTGTTATAACATAATACTTCTCTCCTGTTAATAGGTTCCAAGTTTCTCTTTTCACTTGTTAATTCACTACTAAGTTAATGTACTACTAAGCATGAGATCCCCAAGTCCAGCCAACTGGAATGTGATTCTAGTCAAGGTATTCAACGAAATTCCATTGTAACAAAACAATCGAGATATTTCAGGAAGCTCATTATTTTAAAAGATTTCCTCAGTAATGGAGAATTCCATGTTACCCCTAACTCAACTTATTTAGAAACTACTAGTGATGGAGATGGTAGGTTTCAGGATGTCAAACTAATAAGGATGTGAAGACGGAGATTAGGGGATTGAGTTCTTATCTGACTGAGATCTCAGAAATGAAGACAGAGATCAGAGTTGGTTTGCTTTTCATGAAAGCCATAACCAGCATGAGGCCATAAGACCTTTGTCCCAAGGGAACACTGGGGAGAAGGAAGTTGAGGGAGGGGGGAGTACAATTCCTTGGAAAGGGCACTCTTTACTGGTAGTCTAGAGACAGCTACCTCTGTTCCAAGAGGCAAAACCCCACTTTCTCCTGGCTTTACTATACGAGCATGGGCAAGACTCTCTGGATAACAAACTGCCCCTTTCCCCCTTACCTACAATTGTACCTGCCATAAGACTGTTTGCTGCACTGAATTCCTCTTTGAGTTTTCCTCTATTCAAACTGCAACTCCTCCCTACTGTCCCATCACCCTTTCCTCCCACTCCAGGAGAAAGAATTCCTCTTCCACTCTACCTGAAAAGGATAAGATAGGTTCCCCATCTCCCTCCCTTTACTGAATACCTTAAAGCCTCAGTTTGGGGCTAGGCCAGTCCCAGGCAACATTGTGAAGATGGAGAAAATGTAGTTTGTCCTCAACAATTTCAGCATGCCTTTCAGTGTACCTCTTTCCTCTCACTGTGTTACACCCTAACCTTCTAAGCCTACTTGAGGAGAACACTGACTTCATGCTCAGAATCCTCCTCCTATGCAAATCTACTCATAAGGAAGGAAATGGTGACGAGAATGCTAAGCATGAAGTGATGTTCTGCACCTGCACCAGGAATTTACTGAGTGGGTTCCAGAGCTTCTTGGGATAGAGATATATGTGATCCCAGATACTCTTTGGGAAAGAAATTCATGGAGAGAGAAGCCACAAATATGTCAGGGAAGCTGGCTCAACATGTTCCAGTTTGCCTCCCTAGAAACTACTAGAATGAAACTTCTTGGGTGAAACTAGTCTCTCCTTTTGTCTTCCTTCTCTCTATCCCTCTGTCTCTGTTTCTCTTTTTTCCCTTCTTCCTCCTTTTCTCCTTCTCCCACTTTCCCTTCTCTTCCCTCTTCCTCTATTCTTTCCTCTTTTCCTCCATACCTCTCCCTCTTTTCCCTCTCCCTCTTCTCTCCCTTCTTTCTTTCCTCTTTCCCCCATCCCTCTCCCTCTGCTCCCTCTCCTCTTTTCTGCACCCTTCTTTCCTCTCCTCTCCCTCCTCTCCCTCTTCCCTTCTCTCCCCCCTTTTCTTTCCTCCCTCTCTCTCTCTCATCTTCCCACCCTTCCCATATTCTGTCCTCCCCCCACCTCTCTCTCAGATTGAACTGAACTGTTCTGTTATCTTGCTGTCGCCTAAAGAGCTCCTTCACTCTTATTTTCTGGTATATTCTAATCTGTAGAACTCTAATTTCTGTTTGCTGTTCTGCTTTACTAAATAGGTTTACTCAATATTTATAATGGTCTTTTGTGTACCAATGTTTGGTAAGAAGGAGCTAATCTAGAGACTGTAAACTAAAGGCCCTCTAAAGCAAGAACAGGGAAGCAGCTCTGCTTCCGGACTCACTCAGGCCCTCAGACCAGAGATATTTGAGGGGGCACATGTAGATAATTCTAGTCCTATGCTCCTCTCAGAGACCCAGCCTTATGGTATTCCTGGGGCCTGCCTGCCCCTTCCTCCAGCCTCCACCCTACCTCTTTCTCTCCACAGAGGCAGGACAGACATCATATCTATCTGGGTAACCACTTAGACAACCCATGTAGATATATGGATCTTACTGATACAATAAATTCAGTCACCCCAAGATGTAAGGGACTGATAATGTTTAAAAGAGATGGTATATTGTAGTGGAAAGAAGCATTTGGAGTCAGATGATATAAATATGAATATGAATCCTGATTCTGCGACTAACCACCTATGTAACCTTGGGAAAGTCATTTTATCCCTATGGTTTCCTCATCTGTAAAATGAAGATGTACTTTAAGAGGGTTGCTGGTCTTAGGTCTTTTCCAATCCAATTATCTCTATGGTCTCTTCTTATTAGTTGTGGACTCCTTAAGGGCAGGGACCATTTTTGCCTTTCTTTGTATCCCTGGAGGTTAGCACTGTGCCTGGCATATCCTAAGTTCTTAATTAATGTTTGTTGACTTGACTTGACTCTTCCAGTTCTGAATCCTATGATCCTACAGTATATTCTTTCTTCTAGTGGTTTTTATATTTCAACTGGGTTCAAAGTCTTAAGTCAAAGTGGGGAGGAGGAATCTTTATTTGAGGAATTTCTCCCATCAAGCCATTTGGAAAAGTATTTGGGGGGAAGCAGGAAGATCTTTCTTGCACTCCTAAAATCACACCACAGCTATAGTCTGCCACCTTCTTTGCCAGTCTCATCTGGTTCCAGGTAAATTTTATCCTTGAGCAATAGAAAAGAGGCCAAGAGACAGGCATGAAGAACCCAGACAGATTTGTTTGGCCACCAAGTGTTTTTTTGTTATTGATCTAAGGTTTCATTTGCAATTTTTGTTGTTGTTCAGTCATTTCAGTCATATCTGACCCTTTGTAACCACATTTGGGGTTCCCTTGGCAAAGAGACTGGAGTGGTTTGTCATTTCCTTTTCTACCTCATTTTATAGATGAGCAAACTGAGGCAAGCAGGGTCAAATGACTTGCCCAGGGTCACACAGCTAGTGTCTGAGGCCAGATTTGAACTCTTCCTGATTCCAGGACCATCTCTAACCACTGCACCACCCTTGCATAGATTACTCTAAAAGAAACTCCCTAAACCAATGGAGATCAGCAACTGCTCTGCAACTTGTAGTCTGCAGGCACTGAGAAGCTGTGACTTGCCCAGGGTCACAGAGCTTGCATGTATCTGAGGCAGGATTGGAGCCCAGGTCATCCTGACTCTCAGGCTGTTCTCTATCTACTACTTTCTGCTGCCTTTCAACCACTACAATAATACAAGGGAAACAGGATTACTGAAGGTAAACAATTCAGAGCTAAATCAAAATTCTCCCCAATGTTAGAGGCTAATGCACAAAGACAGTAAATTCCATAATGGCGGTGGCTACCTATTTCTAGTATAAGTGTGCCCAAACTGGGCCCCCAGTGCTGATTGGCACAGAACCTTTCCATAGGCACAACATGGGAAGAGCCAACTGTAAAGGAACACCCAGCACTCAAGGAACTAAAACCCTCCTGAGACTAGGATTGCCAGCTAAGCACATCCCAGTTCTGAGAAGGGAGGGAGGAAAGAGGGCTGGGTCCCATTACTTCTTTGCTCTCTGGCATGCTTTAGCCCTCTCCCATACAACAGAGAATAAAAACTCCAGTACTATGGCACATGAAGGATTTCAGAACCTCCAGGGAGGCTTTTAGGGAACATGGGGAGAGTTAGTAAGGAAGGCTGTCTGAGAAAAATGATAGGGATGATAGCCAACAAATTCTGACCAAAGAAACCCAGCGCCAAGTCAGAGGATAAACCCAGATTGGAAGTACCTGGTAAAGTGAATAGCCAATGCTGAGCATCCCTTGTCCAATCCTTTTCTTCCTCCTTCGGTTTTTCTGCATCAGACCCACCAGCACTGTGCAGCAGGGCTCACTTGGGCTCCCTTCATGGTGGTCATCTGCCTCATCCAATCGGATCTTGAACTGGGGATTGGTCCAGTATGTAGCTGTGCGTTACATTGATGTTCATTTACCCCCCAGAAAAAGAAGAAGAAAAAATGAAAGAAACATCAAAAGATGTCTTGGATATTCCTGTGTTACAGCATAACTCAGGCCAGAGAATTCCTAGTTTCTGCTTCTGGCCATATTTGTTCAGCAAAGGGGTCACATTTTCTTTTCTCATTATGTTTGTTTATAACATTCAACTACAGTGAGAGACAGCTTAGCATAGTGGATAGAAAGCCAGTCCTGCAGTGAGGAAGGCCTGGGTTCAAATACTACCTCTGACACATACTATGTGACCCTGATCAAGTCACTTAACTTCTCACTGCTCTAGGAAACTCTCTAAGACCATAAGTTGCAAAGAAGATGCCAACCTACATTAGTATGGAATATTTCCTTCTCCAGAGGGTTCTCTATAAGGAAATCATAGTTCCAGTCCCTATCCCTGCCCCTTCCCCCACACACACACTTAAATGGGAGAAGGTCAAGAGCCCGAGAGTGTATGACTAACTAAAAATATCTAAAGTGTCTAATCCCATGGGATAGCTGACCTTGTGTTTCAGCATTACCATGAAGTATGATCCCCAAATATCATGTGGCCTAGGGAAAGTAATCAAAGTTTATTACAGTGAATTTGTTTGGCATGATACAGTAAAAGGAGCAATGGCACTAGAACAGAGGGCTTGGGTTCAAATCTCACCTCCAATGCTTGTTATCTGTACAACCTTAGACAAGTCACCTAACCTTCTCGGGCTTCAGCTTCCTCACATGTAAAAATTGGGGGGCGGTCGGGTTGGGCGAGGGGAACTAAGCAGCTTCTGAGGCAACCTTCACCTCCAGACCTGTGATCCTATAAACCAATCTTAAGGACAGTTTACTAACTTCTATTGCAAATAAAGAAAAATGTGAGCTAAGAGGCAAAAAAATAAAACTTTGTTCATTTTCTATAAATTACGCCATTCTAAAATTCTTGGCAGGGGTGGGGAACCTGTGGCCCTCTAAGTCCTCAAGTGCAGCCCTTTGAATGAATCCAAACTTCACAGAACAAATCCCCTTAATAAAAAGATTTGTTCCATAAATCTTGGATTCAGTCAAAAGGCCAAAAGGTCCAAGGATGTGGAAGGCCACATGTGGTCTCAAGGCCCCAGGTTCCCCACCTCTGGAATAGGGGATTCTGAAAACAAATGGAATCTACGTGGAAAAACCTCTCCCAGAAGAGGACACTTAGAGGAGTTCCAATGAACCGCAGTGATCTCTCTTGTAAAGCCTTCAGCTCCTGCTGCCACTATGACCTTGAACAAACTTAACTTCTCTCTGCTATCAGAGGGGGTTGGACTAGATAACCTTTAAGGCTCCATCCAGCCCTAGGCTTATGATCGTGTGATCCTAAGCCTCTGAGTATCTCAGTTTCCTGGCTTAATACAAGTCCAAACTGCTGGGAAGAGGAAGAATCAACTAATGTCAGAGCATTCTGAATTGTCCAGATGAAAGGCAGGGTCTCAGAAAAGATGAGCGTGGCTACCCAGGTAACTCCCTACTTAGAAGTGCTCTGTGTAACAGGACTATAAAGGCAATGTTCTTACAGGCTCTGAAGACCAGGATGATTGACGTTCAGGGAATGTTGCCACCTCAGAGAGATTAGACCTCAGACCAAGCGCGCTGCTTGAGTTGTCTCAGCACTTCATTTTGCTTATGAAATGTACACTTCTTACATAGTGTGATATCTTTTATGGTGTATGAAGAAAACTCCTTGGCAATTAAGCAGCCCCACCATGATACCTCTTGTTCTCAAAGGGAGTTCCATTTCAGAGAGAAGACTACCTAGCCACAGGGTACCTGGAGATTTTACATGGGGAAACTGAGGTACAGAAAGATTGAGTGACTTTTCAAAGGACACGCAAGTCCATAACAGAATCAGAATGATAAATAAATTGGAGAAGTCATGGCTATGATCATTCTTATCCTGGAGTCTAATGCTTCTTAACTTCTTTATTTTTTAGTAAGTGTCTAATTTAATGAACTAGCAAGGCATCCGGGCATGTTTGAAAGGCCTCTGCTAGTATTACAGACTCTTTTAACTCCTTACTCTGCCACTTAATAGGGTATGACTTTAGGAAGTGAGTTCTGATTTCTGAGCCTCAGTTCCCTCATTTATAGAATGAAAAGCCTAGACCAGGGGTGGGGAGCCTGAGGCCTCGAGGCCACATGTGGCCCTCTAGGTCCTCAAGTGTGGCCCTTTGACTGAAGCAGCCCTTTGACTGAATCCAAAGTTCAAAGTTTGGATTTGGTCAGAGGGCCACACTTGAGGACCTAGAGGGCCACTTGTGGCCTCGAGGCCGCAGGTTCCCCCTCTCTGGCCTAGACTCCAAAATCTCTTGCAAGTTTGACATTTTAGGATTCTGTGATAATGATAGTATTGCTTTTTCAACTTTGTCTTCTAGGAATCTAAAGTTCCAGAATCATAATTCAGGGCAAATGTCTCTGAATTTTAAAGTTAACTATGTATAGGCTCCAGAGGAGACAAAGAATATTCTGAACTGTTTATATATTTGCATCATTACCAATTGGCAAGAGAGAGAAATCTGTTCATGAAGGCTACTTGGCAGGGGTATGCTAGCAATTTGTTTTATGTAGCTACCGCATTCACTCCCAACAACAATTCCTAGCTGCCCAAATTGATCCGTGCAAATTTCTGATGCTCCTCTCAGGGATTGCTAATGGTGATCATATTCTAATATGTCCCAAATGCACTACAATCTCTGCTTTTTTGTTTGTTTGTTTGTTTGTTTATTACTTGACAGAATTAAAGAAGGGAAATAAGCCATTAAAACAGCAAGTTTGGGTAGAGTTGAGGGCTGAGGCAGGAGAAAGTTTGACGAGATCCCAGGACCATCAAGTTTGGACTTTATTAGAATATAAGTAGCACCAGGAGGTAGAACATAGAGGAGACATGATCCTTGCCCAGTGTGCTTACAGTCTAAATCAAGCCAACAAGACAAGATCAAACAAAAGAAGTACATGACTTGTAGTGATGAGAAGACACAGTTTGTTTTCCTTCATTCCTCCTTAGAGATGTAGGGTGAGGGATGGTCATTTTTCTTAAATCCTCCATCAGGTGTTGCCTCAGCTGGTTCAACCTAGGAGGAGCCTACATATACGTTAGTTTTCTCTAGAAATTGTGAAATACAAGCTTGAGTTTCATGTCTATATCAGAGTTCCCGTGTTTAGTAAGACTTTCATCTAAGGTTAGTACAGAAGGAATAGCTTGCACCACAAGATGCACACTTTCCCTTGTCTACCTCTGGCTCTGAAGTGTGCTGAATGAAATAGCTGGTTAGGAATTAGTGGCTATTGATGAACAAGGTCTACAATACATCCTCTGTAAAATCAGGCATTTATTACACTCAGGTCCACACAGCACACCACTGGTGAGTGAAGCACTTTGATCAGCTGAGCCCACCCCTAGCAATATCACCATGTAATCATTGGCTAATGTTTGGGTAGGTGGGCTCAGCTGTAGTGGTCTGGAGGAGATAATGAAAGTGGAAAAGGGAGCAAGAAGGGAGGGGGGTGGAGGAAGAGCATAAGGACAAGGAGCAGAAGGCTTTCAGAGGGCTAAGAGTGAGAAGGGCTTGGCAGAAAGGTTTCACTAAAGTTGTCGATTTAGGACTACCATTGTCCCTCCAGATTCTGAACCACGAAAAAACCTTGCCCCCAAGCAGATGCCATTCTAAAAAGCCAAGCACCACGTCATCCGTAGAACAGAAATCTAAAAGCAGTCAGGCCTCAGTGCAGGAAGAAGAAACCCAAACAGCAGGCCTTGAGGCTGGTCATTCCAGTGCATGTCAACCATCATCCCTTCGGTCTGTACCTGGGTAGTTCTGGCAGCCCCCAGCTGTGGAGCCCCTGATCCAGCGGCCATTGAACAATGCCATATTCCATTTGTGGATCTCCTCACTGGTCAAGGAGTCAGGAGACAAGTTACAGATCTCCAGCCGAGAAAATTGCCTCTGGAAATCTGAAAATGACATCCTAGGGATGAAAAGAGCAAAAAGTTCCCAGACTGGTGAGCTGGGATTGAAATTTAGACAAATACAACCCCTGGGGAAGTCATTCCTTTTTTTTCACACCTACACGACCAACAGTGGAAAAGGAATGTCCTGAAATTCAGTGACACAGACTTTTTTCTGACAGTCCCAGCCTTATTCCAAAGTCTATGCTTCCCCCAGGGGATAGCGACACCATCACTTCCATTGTCCAATAAGCTAGATAATATTACTAATACTCCAAGGAATTTTCCTTACTTTCTTTGACTGTGGACAAACTACAATGGTTTCTCTTTTTCTACCCCATTCCTCATTTAGTACAGCACCTGATTCTTCCAAAGAAGGGACTAACTAGATAAACTAGTCATTTAGTCCAGCCCTTTCTTGATCTCTGGGCTAAATTACACCTAAACCAGGTCAGAGTTGAGTATCTTTTTAACTCCCAAAGATCTCCATGGATGGAAACTTCAGCATCCCTCATGAGGGAGACAACATGTACTTAGGTAAGTAAATATAAAATACATATAAAGCAGATACAAGGAAACCTTAAAAGGGAAGGGACTAGATGCTGGGGGATCAGGAAGGGCCTTCTACAACAGGTGATACTTTAGCCGAGTCTTGAAGGAAGGCAGGGATTCTAAGAAGAGACGGTAAGGAGGGAAAGCATTCCAAACATGGGGGACAACCAGTGAAAAAGCAAGGATTTGGAAGATGGAGCAAGTAGACCAATATGGCTGGATTCCATATCCCATCAGAGAAGATGTAAGTTCATCCCATTTTGTTATTAAACTACTTGGAAGCCATGAGGTACATTGAAAGCAGGAGTAATTTGTGATAGCATGGTTTCATTTTAGAGTTAGGGAAAATGATATTTCATCATTTATTTGCCCGAAGTAGCCTAGAAAATCAGTTGCTAAACAAGGGCTTAGATTTCCTGGTTTTGATGTGTCAAATTGGAGCACAGGAAGAATTTAATTTGCACAAAAGGAGGAAGGAGAACAAGGGCCTAATAAAACTGGCCATGACTGTATTCTTATTGCTTTACAATCTGCACCTAGGGAATCAATAAGTCTTGGGTACTTCAGATCTCTTTGAGCATCCCTAGGGCTGCCAGAGGAAGTCTGCTCCCTTTTGCTTCACCATGAAATTAGATAAGTGAAACTTGCCAACCAGGGAATAATCCACCAAAGAATAAGAAAGATTTCTCACCAAAATTCTCCATCTTCAGCCTTCTTGTCTAGTTCTTCCTTCTGCCAGGGGTCTATGTAATTCCATTCGGGGGCGCTGAAAGTCAAGCACAAGTCTTCAGTTAGACTCCACAGCAATGGAATCTCTGTTTATAGCAGGTCTCTTGGAGACATGCACTAAATACTGACCCTGTAATGATTAGGGGCCACACAAACCCAGCCTTTCCCACTACACGTAGACTGCTACCACAAAGAACCAGCTTAAACATGGAGAATCTTGAGTTCACCCAGAAATGAGCCTCTGAGGTGAACAAATTAAGAGAAAATAAGATCTGAAATATTCTATTTAGTATCTCTAAGGAAAGGGAGAAGCTAGGTGGTACAGTGGCTAAAGTGCCATGCCTGGAGTCAGGAAGACTATCTCCCTGAGTTTAAATCTGGCCTCAGACACTTACTAGTCATGTGACCCTGGGCAAGTCACTTCACCCTGATTGCCTCAGTTTCCTTATCTGTAAAATGAGCTGGAAAAGGAAATGGTGAACTATTCCAGTATTTTTACCAAGAAAGCCCCAAATGGGGTCATGAAGAGTTGGACGTGACTGAAAAATGACTGAATAACAGCAAGGAAAGGGACTTCAGGGATCAGCTTGTCCCAGACCCTCATTTTACAAATCTTTATTGTTGTTGAATTTCATTCCTTGTTAGGGTTCCCAACTGAGAATAAGCAAAGGCCAGAGCAATGAAATAAACTCATACCAGTTGACCTATATTCATGCTAAAAAGAGGAAACCAAAGCTTACAAAGACTAAGGGAGTTACCCCAAGTCATAAATAGTAAGCGACAGAGCCAGGATTCAAACGCAGGTCTTCCACTTCCAAATCTAGTGGGGTTTTCCCCCGTTGCATTATCATTTTTTAATCAATAAAAAGCATGGTAGACATTGTCACAGGATTACAGAAATCAAGATTTGAAAGGGATCTCAGAGGCCATCTAGTCCAACCCACACCTGAGAGGTACTCCCTGTTAATAATATACCCAATAAGTAGTCACCCAGCCGCTTTCTAAAGAAGTCCAAGGAGGGGGAATCTAATCACCCTTCAAGGCAACTCATTCTACTTTTGGACAGCTCTTGTTGCTAGGGGGCTTTTTCCTGAGATTTGAGTTTGGCATTTTGTCATTAAAGCCACAAGTGACTAGAACTGCTAAAAGGTGTTCCTTCAACAGCCAACCCTAATATTCAATGGCTGATTGACCAGTTTGTAGGTCATTCAATTCTCTTGCTTTGCCTCCTCTTCCTTTTTCTTATCTACCTACCTACCAGTCATTACACTTAATGCATGTCACTGTGTATTGTATTATCAGTGTATACATGTACTGTAGCATGCATGTATGGTATTGATATGTATTTGTATGTATCTTACACACACACACACACACACACACACACACACACACAGAGGATTATAAACTACTTGACAGCAAAGATCATATTTCACTTAAACTTTGCATCTCCCCATCACCCAGAATGTGATTTGCACGCAACTAATGCTTAATGTTTGTTGCTGTTGTTGAATTGCATTGCCCTTTAGAGCCTCCATCTAAGAGTGGCCAAGGTCAGTGAGAGGAAGAAAGAAAGAAATCAGTTCACTTCAATGCCTGCTAACAATTTTGGTAAAAAGGTCTTTGACCAAAAAAATTGGTGAAATTAATTGTTGTTTGCAAGAATTACGTACATTTCTGTTATACTTTAGATAGTCAGGAATTGGAAATATTGTCAGTCTTGCCAACAGCACTCAAGTTCTGAGATTTGCTCAATTCTAAGTGTCTTAGTTCAATAGGAACCCTCTGATCCAGAGGGAGTAACCCCATGGCCCCAGGTTTGTGTGTGGCAGGCTTTTCAGAACTATAATATTAATAACTCACTTTTATGCAGGCATACTCAGGTTTTCCAAAGACTTTACTCACAACAACCCTTTAAGGTAAGTAGTACAAGTATTACTATGCCCCTTTTACAAATGGGGAAACTGAGGTTTATAAAGGTTAAGTGACTTGCCACATTTAGTTAGTGTTTGAAACAGAATTCAAACCCAAATCTCTTGATCTCTCCGTTTCTCCCATACCCTGGATATTTCATGCTGCCTAGAAGCAGACAAAAGATATTTACATTGCAGATCATATTGATGCTATGATTAAAATCACTGAAGTCTTTTGAAAGGTCTAAATTAATACAGCTTCACAGAGCTATGGGAGGGTGGTCTAATCAACTGGCAACAGATGTTTAAAATGCCTTCAAACCACAGCAGCATTTAGGGAAAGGCGAGGGAACAGGGAATGACCCTTGGTCATGGACTTTAGTGAATACTGGCTCCTATCCTAGGCCACGTTGGTCAACTTTGCTCCAGTCTGACCTTCTCTTCTTTTGTTTAAATTACATTTTATTATTTTTTAATTAAAAAGCATTTGTTTTCTCTCTCTCCTACTCCCATACTACTGAAAAACAAATCCTTATAACAAATATTGTCAAGCAAAACAAATTCCCACATTGGCTGTGTCCAAAAACTACATGTCTTATTCTGCACGTTGAGTTCATCACTTCTTTGTCAGGAAGTAGGTAGCATGCTTCATCGTCAGTCCTCTAGAGTCACAGTGAGTCATTTTGTCAATCAGAGTCTAGGGGATGCTCACTGGCCAAAAGCTACCTTACTGACTAATATGGAGCTTGTTCCATTATTCAGAAAGCTTTAGCTTTACAAGCATGACACCTGGTTTCTAAAGCATCAACACCTTGGGAAATTATGGAATTGCACTCGAGTGTCCCTCTCTGACTGACTTCCCCACCCCTCCAACCATCAGAGAGGCCGGTCAGAGAACAGCCTCTTTGGTCATCAATGGCTTCTGCCAAGAAAGATCAATATCTGCCAGTGGTAATGAGCTAATGGAGTGAGCTCCAGGCCCATCGATCGCTGCCTGTTGTGACCAGTTGGTTCCCAAGATCAAATCTCATTCTCCAAGTGCCATTTCCTATTGGTCCTGATGGCTTTGGCCTTTGTCATACTGACCAGTTGAAAGGATCAGAAGAGAAGTGATTGATTTGACCTTTGGACCACACTGGTGCTCTAGGCAGAGAATGTGAAAGCTTCTGGGAGAGCTCCTTAGAGCCAGGAGTCATTCCAACTGACCTATCTGTATTTGAAATAAAAGAAGGGGAAATTCAGCCTTAAACATAACAACTTCATTTTTCTAGCCTGGACTCAGCCCTCTTTTTCTAGGCAGACTGTACTCAGTGAACTGTGAAGGCTTCAAAATTCCCTATAACCAACCATTTTTCACTGTTATTGTTTGTAATTACATAATACCTCTTCTCTGAAATACTCAATAATAGAGGAATATGGCAAGAGAAACTTGACTCTCTCTAAAGGGAACCTACCTGTCACTCCATGCTCCTGTCCATTCTGTCCCACCCCATGGATTCCTTAGACGGATTAGCTTTTCAAGGCAGCCACGGTAATTAACCTGCAAATTCCACCAAAAAGGCAGAATTGAGCACTTAGATTCACCCCAGTGTCCCACATTTGCAGATACATTAGGCTTATATTAGAATTCTTTTCTTGAAATAAAAATATAGATTTTTTTAAAAAAATGTTCAGTTCAATTCAAAAAGCATTTATCAAGTACTTCTCATGGACCAAGCACTGGGGATACAGAGACAAAAATGGAAAAATAGTCCCTTCCTTAGGGAAGGTTATTCTACAGGGTACACGTGACATTTGTACAGGTAAAGAAATGCATGACAATTTGGATGAGAGCACTAACCAGGGGAGTAAGAAAAGGCTTTCCTTCGGGGATGGCACCTGTCTTGAGCTTGAAGGACTCAGAGAAATAGAGATGAGAGGGAGGGGCATTCCTGGCATTCAGGATAGCCCGTGCAAAAACACAGAAGTAGGAAATGGAATGCTCAGTTCAGAGGAAGAGCAGGTCCTTCCAGTGGAGCATAAAGTAAGTGAAGGGGAGCAAAGTAAGTCTGGAAAGGGCATCTGGAGCTAGAACCAAAAGGCCTCTAAACGTCCAGGTGAGGTGTTGTGTTTTACCCTAGAGGCATCTCTATTCTAGGTTCTCTATTTTAGAGAACCATTGCAGCTTCTTAAGCTAGACTCAGATATATGCTTTAGGAAGTTTATTTGGGGGGAGAGGGGAGGAAGAAGGGAACAAGCATTTATTAAGTGCCTTCTATGTGCCACACACTGTGCTAAGCACTTTACAGCTATCACCCCATTTGATCCTCACAACAACCCTGTGAGGTAGAAGCTACTATGACCCCCATTTTACAGTTGAGGAAATGAGGCAGACAGAGGTTAAGTGAGTTGCCAAGGTCACACAGGTAGTAGGTGTCTGAGACTAGATTTGAACTCAGGTCTCCTCTGACTTCAGGTCTAGTACTCTACAGACTGTGTCACCTAGCTTCAAGTCTTCACTGACCATTATCCTAGAATTCACATAGCCACAATCAGTCGCTGGCCATATTAAATTTCATAACTAAGTCAAGAAATGCATGAGGGCCAGCTGCATTTTGTAAGCCTGATAAGTAAATATTGGGAATCAGTCAAAAGAATTGGAGGAAGAAGAGCACCATGGCAAATAACTACGTTAGGTAACATTCCTTTACAAAATCTATGTCCTATGACCTCCTCAGCCATTGTTTTGCTATCCCCATACTCAACGATAAACAAACTAGACAACAGTGAAAGGCTAGATTCAACTAAAAAGACCCCACTTAAACTCTGAAGGACTGTATGCTTAACACGAAAAACACGTACATTGACCAAGCGTATCAATTGACACAAAAATATGATATTTTTACTTTGAAATAAAAATGTTCATCCTACTCTCTCTACTTTCCTTGCCTGCGCAAACAAAATGCACTGCATCCATTGATACAGCTTGATCCTTGGGAACACTGGTAAATTCCAATCATTCTCTGAAGTATCACACTCCAGAACCCAATGGAGGAACAGCAAGGGATGCCTGCTTTTACCTCTTCAACTCCAGTGATGGAGTAAGCATGCCCCTTAACCAGCTTCAGTCTGGTGACTTCCTGCAACTCTGATGCATTGGTGATCTAGGTAGAGAAAAAAGTACAATCAGGAAAGGCTGGCAGAGGAATCCATGTGGACCTGCCCTGCCACTTCTTCTAATGACACTTGGTACAGAAGGAGGGAATGGGCCTCAACAATAGGATGAGGTCATGCAAATACGGCAATAAGTCTTAAACTTAATAGAGCTGTCATCGTCAAGCCCTTTACCAATTAAGCCTGCTCAGCCAAGCAAAGTGCCTGGGGCCTGCCATGACCCAAGCATGACATACTAGCCTTGGAAATGCCGCTAGGGAATTGGGAAGTCATTTCTTCTTAGAAGAATGACTCTGCACTGACAGAAGAGCACTAATTATCTTGTATTATATTTGATGCAAGCTGGAATCCTAAAATACTATGGATCATACTATTTTCATAGTATGGATCCTTTGGATTCACATGTTTCCTCTCTCCTTTCTCACCTCCCCCTCCTTTCTCTGCCTCTTCATTAAAACCTATGACCTTTTCATAAAAAAAAACATACACATGCATATGTGTATGTCCAAGCATATATTTTTATATGTACACATATGTGTGTATTCATATATATATGTGTATAACACATAAGATAGATAGACAGACAGATAGATAGATAGATGGATAGATAGACAGACAGATGAAAAAGAATAAGCATTTTGAATAGCGCCTACTATGTTCCAGGAACTATGCTAAGCACTTCACAAATGTTATTTCATTTTATCCTCAAAACATCTCTGTCAGGTAGATGCTATTATATCCTCTTTTACAGTTGAGGAAACTGATGCAAATAGAAGTTAAATTATTTGCCCAGGATCATACAGCAAGTAAGTGTCTGAAACTGGATTTGAACTCAAGTCTTCTGACTCTAGGCCCAGGTGGTAAAAATCCACTTTGCCATCTAGCTGCCTTAATTGATAGGAGGGAAAGAGGGGGAGAAAGAGAGACAGACAGACAGACAGACAGACATATACATATAGCTTGCCAGGGTTGTCATACTTTGGAAAAAGGAGAATATTTTATTTTTATTTTGTCCACTTCTGAAATAAGTAAGTTGTTACCTGAGCAATGGTCTACTTGACTAGGAGAAAGCTTAGAGTGATGAGAGAAAGGCATTATGGGGGGAAAACAGGCACAACAAAGGAGTATACAGCAGCTAAGAAGAATGGTAGACAGTACAAACCATATTATGGATCTAGTTTCTATAACCCTCATTTAGTTCCTCTTCACTCCCTTTCCCGGGAGCTCATGACTTCCAGTTTAAAACATACTTCCCCAGAAAGACTTTCAATCAGAGATCTCCAAACCAACACCGTCATATACTGAATCTCCTCAGAGGATTACAGGTTTAGAGTTGAAAGGTATTTGTGATCCCTCATTTCCCAGCTGAAGAAACTGAGGCTGAGAAGCAAGAAGTAACTTACCGAAGGCCACACTAAGAGTAAGCATTAAAGTGAGGAGTTGAACCCAGGGCCTCTGCCCCCAAATCCAGTGATCTCTCCAATCTACCATACTATCTCCCATCTAACACGTAGAGGAGGGGAAGTAAATTCCCCAATGTCACTCAGTAAGGGGGTAGCATTGGTAGAGACAGGACTCAGGGATCATGATTAATTATAGACTACAAACCTCTAGGGTTCAGAGATTAAAAACAAAAAGCAAACAACAACAGTCTTAGATACTCTGATGAGAATGACCATTCCCATTCCCATCCACTCACACAGGTCTTAAAACAGAATTCCTTCCTAGGAATAAATTTGGGTACCACTAATAAACTCTAATTACACTTATCAGGGCAGAGATTGTGCTACCTACCAGCCATAGCTCAAAGCATTCTCCCACCCCTCAACCCATGTTCATTTTTTTTTTCCATTCAAAGGGAAACGTCCCTGGCTCACATCAATGGAGCAGCCAAGCAGTGACCCAGAACGTAAAGCCTTCCTGATGATTTGATACAGATTGGACGGGGCCTTCTTCAAATCATAAAACTCTGAGATTCCTCCAGTGAAGTCTTCAAATCCCTCCACTGTGGACCCGCCTGTGAGAGCTTCATAGGACCCATTGAGCCTGCAGGAAAGGACAAGAAAAGAATGAAGTATACTGCTTCTAGTCTTTAGACATTAGCTAACATCCACATAGCATCTGCTATAATTAGAGGACCCCAAGAGGAAGGATCTCTCTTTCAGAGGATGCATGGGTAATGGTGTTTGGTGGAGGTGATGAACTCAGGGGAAACCATTCAGGGAAATGTGGCTTTAAAGACCTAGAATTCCAATTCGGGACATTGGGGAGGTCAGCAGTTTGCCAGGGCTGAAATCCATATGATTTGACATGAATACCGTGGGCTCATTTCAGAGAACTAACGGCCATTCCTTTCCAGAGGCAACCCATCATCTTCCTTGTGCTTTAAGCAATTCTGTCTTCCAGTCAAATTGGAATCTACAATGAAGCAAAACCTAAAATTTTTCAGGGGAGGAAAGTTGGGAAGTGACTGGAGCGGGAACCTCAGGAGCTATAACTAGGGCAGGTGAGCTGGAGCAGAAGATACACAACTCTTGGTTTAAACAAGAAAAACTGCTAACCTGCTTGGGTTAGTAGACTTGCTGAGCAAAGGGCGGAAGCTTCACTGGTTGAGTCAAGGGGCTATTTATTGTTATTTATTATTATTCATCTTTCCTCTAGTGTTTTATAAGGACCAAAGTACTTAACGTGGAGTTTATTAGCCCCATTAAGCTCTGTTATCCCTATTAAAAGAGAAGGAAGCTAAGAAATAGACAGGTTAACTGATTTGCCTGAGGTTACATAGTCATCAAGTGGAAGAATTTAAATTTTAACTCATAGGCCAAGTGTGAGGTTAATTTAGATTACTCAAAGCAGCATGCCATAGTAGACAGTGTATTGGGCTTTGAGTCTAGAAAGCCTGAGCTCAAATTCTATCTCTGGCACTTAGTAGCAGTGTGACTATAGGCAGGTCACTCAGTCTCTCTAAGCTTTAATTTCCTCATCTGTAAGATGAAGAGGCTATGCTCTAGGACCTCTGAGATCCTTCCCAGCCATAAAGCTTATTGGTTCTCTAACTCAAGGGAGTACCAGGTACCAGAGAACAAAGCAAAGATAACATCTTAAATAGGGACCTGTGTAGAGCTTCAATATAGAAATATAGTGATCATCCTGAAGTCCCCTGAACCCCAAACTTCCCCCACTTACTTGGCATAGGCCTTTTCCAGCAGGGCACTCCAGAACTCTCTGCCTTCTTCTGAGTGAAGGAATAGCAAATTCCCATTTCTGGTGGGTAGCCTGTCATCGATGACCACATCCACCCATTCTCCATACTGCCAGAACTGGAGGATAAGAAACCCACAGTCTCATCATAGAAGGTCAAGGGGGAGGTTGATGGAACAGAATGATGTCTATCTACCAAGAACACATTATTTCCAGAGAATTTAGAGTAAGGATTTTATACTTATTTTGCACACATTCCCCTACCCAAATAGATTATAGGATAAGGAACCATCTCATGCAATTGCAGAGCTCCTCCATTGATTTAAATTGTTGGGGGTTTTTAAGAAATGAATGAATGAATAGACTTGACCACTGATGATGACATCAAACTGGGGGTGGGGAAAATGGTGTTAAGGGCAATAAACAAGTCATAGTACCTGAAAATGAAAGATTCCTGCATAGTTCTTCTGGAAGCTCTGATCCTTGGGGACCACTCGGTAAAGGAGCTCTTCATTCAAGGTCAGCGAAGCAATGGCTGCAAGGAGCCAGCAGTCACCTGCACAGTATCATAGGACATATACGTTGGTCAAGCCAGGCCTATGGGGTTCTCTTGGAGGTACCACCACCTCTTTTTATTGAATACAAGACCAAGTTGCAAATCACACTTTGATGACGAAGGTTCTCCCTTTTCATTCTATTTCAGAATCCTATACAACCAGTTCTGAATTCTAAGAAGCTTTCGCTTAGCTACTAATAGTGTGTGGATTACCCAAGATCCTTGTGTGTCTTTCAGTTCTCCCAATAATTCCTACCATACTTTGAGGAGAGTATAGATAGAAAGAAAACAGATGAGACTCAAAGACTATTGGACTCCTCAGCAACTCTGATAAAAAAAAATTGGGGGTATAGCAATGTTGGAACAATTGTTGAGAATGGGATCTGGAAATTATCTTATATATCAATTGTCTTTCAGGTCAAAACAAACAACAAAATCCCACATTCTTTGCTAAGACTGCCCTTTTCACACTCATACCCTGTTAGGTATAAGTCTGGGTACCACTGATAAATTGCTGTGACAGTCAGACATAGTGGTGCATGTCACTAGTCCCTGCTACTGGAGAAGGCTGAGGCTGGTAGATTACTTATACTCAGAAGTTCCACGCTCATTAGGGCTAAAATCAATCAGGTGTCCCCATTAAGTCTAGCACCAATAAGGAGAGCCAGGGGAGCAGGTCACTAGGCTCCCTAAGAAGACAAACTGGGCCAGGTCAAAAATGGAGAAAGTCTAAAGTCAAAAATTTCCATGCCAGTAAGAAATGGGATTGGGCCTATGAGTGGCGGCTGCACTTGCAGTCTGGCCTAGATAGAGAGACCCACTCTCAAAAGAATACAAAAACTTATGACACGAGAGGTATCCATTATCCTTTACCCCCATGATCACAGATAACAAAGAAATGACATACAGCATGTGGTAAATTATTTTCTTTTATATAGCGTTTCTAAATTTCTCATGACCATTTTGAGACTTCATTTCTTATAATACTCCTGGAATTTAGGGTCACACTAAATGATTCCCCTTTTCCAGAGGAAGAAAACAAAGCAGAGAAGGGTTAGAATCATAGGATGTTGAAGCTGGAAATTATTTCACAGATCATATAATCCAACTCTTCATTTTATAAATAAAGAAACTGGGGCTCAGAAAGGCCCCATGAGGCCCAGGGACTGTGGGAAAGCCAAGAATCAAGACCACAGTTCCAGAGTCCTACCATATTATACTTTCTATGGCATCATATGCTGTCATCATCTTTGAATGACATGAAAATCATATGGAAACTCACAAAAGCCTACAAAATATATCAACCTGGTAGAAACTAGTGACATAATCAATAAACCAATAATTATTTACTAAACATCTACTATCTACCATGCTCTATGCTAGGCAATGGGGATAAAAATATAAATTAAAAAACAATCCCTACTCACAAGAAGCTTATATTCTAATATAAGGTGAAAACAAGGAGATGATAGATAGATAGATAGATAGATAGATAGATAGATAGATAGATAGATAGATAGATAGACAGACAAATAGATTATAGATACATGATAGATGTATATATGTATGTATGTGTGTACATACATATAAACATAGCAAAATTATAAATAAATACAAAGTAGTTCATTATTAAGTACTTGTTTAGTTGCTTTCAGTCAAGTCTGACTCTTTGTGATCCCTTTTGGGGTTTTCTTGACAAAGATGCTGGAGTGGTTTGCCATTTCTTTCTCCAGCTCATTTTACAGATGAGGAAACTGAGGCAAATAGGATTAAATCACTTGTCCAGGGTCACACAGCTAATAAGGATCTGAGGTCAGATTTGAACTCAGGTCTTCCTGACTCCAGGCCCTCTATCCACTACACCACCTAGCTGCCCCTTTATAGGTAACTCCTTGGTATTTATTTGTATTTCTGTACATATTTATTGTCTTCTTCATTCAATGTAAGTTCTTTGTGAGCAGAAATTGATTCACTCTTTATATATGTATCTTCAGCTCTAAAAAGAATGCCCAGAACAGGATAAACAATTAATAAGTACAAGGCTGATCGATTTATCAAGCACCTATGAGCTAGGCACTGTGCTAGGTAGTAGGGCTACAATGACAAAAATAAAGCTGTCCCAGCCCTCAAGGAGCTTAGATTCTATGGGACTGGGGAAGGGGCAGTTGAGTGACAACACATACATGTAAATATATATGTTATACATAAATACAAAGTAATTTAAGGGAGAAAAGCACTCTAAGTTGGCTGGGTCAGGAATGCTACCTTGTAAAATGTAGAACTTGAGCTGAGTTTTCTTTTTTTCTTCCGGAATAGAAAAGGTTTTTATTAATCATAACTGAAAATCTAATAGTAGTCTAACAACTTAGATGCCAAAACTTGCTTCCTTTGGCCATGAACAACTTTGGAGATCAAAGAACTTTGTTGTAATGCGATTAAGTAGCTTTAACATTCTTGTTTTTTCTTTGGTTTCTATGGTTTTTTTATTAATTAATTTATATATTTTTAGTTTTCAACATTCAGTTCCATAAGATTTTGAGTTTTAAGTTTTCTCCTCTTCCCTCTCCTCCCCTCTGCCCCATACAGCATGTAATCTGATATAAGCTCTACCTATACATTCATACTAAGCATATTTTCACATCAGTCATAATGTAAAGAAGAATTAGAACTAATGGGAGGAACCATGAGAAAGAAGAAACAAAAAAAAAGAGAGCAAATAGTATGCTTCCATGTGCATTCAGACTCCATAGTTCTTCCTCTGGATGTGGATAGCATTTTCCATCATGAGTCTTTTGGAATTGTCTTAGATCCTTTCATTGCTGAGAAGAGCTAAGTCTATCAAAGTCAGTCATACACAATGTGGCTATTACTGTGTACAATGTTCTCCTGATTCTACTCATTTCACTCAGCATCAGTTCATATAAGTTTTTCCAGGTTTTTCTGAAGTCCACCTGCTCATCATTTCCTATAGCACAACAGTACTCCATTACATCCATATATCACAGCTTATTAAGCCATTCCCCAGTTGATGGGCATCCACTCAATTTCCAATTCTTGGCCACACAAAAGAGCTGCTATAAATATTTTTGTACATGTGGGTTCTTTTCCCATTTTTATGATATCTTTGGGATACAGACCTAGAAGTGGTATTGCTGGGTCAAAGGGTATGCATATTTTTATATCCCTTGGGCATAGCTCCAAATTGCTCTCCAGAATGGTTGGATCAGTTCACTACTCCACCAACAATGCATTACTGTCTCAATTTTCCCACATCATCTCCAACATTTATCATTTTCCTGTTTCGTCTTGAATCTGATAGGTTTGAGCTGAGTTTTTAAGAAAACAAGGGATTCTAAGAGGTGGGAGTAAGAGCTTTCCTTTCCCCAAAATTCAGATTGCCTAAGAAGGAAAGAAGGCTATTCCATAAGACTTCGCCTTATTTTTCTCCACCAAAGTCCTCAACTAAGTATCACAACAGATACAGTTGTAGACCTGCAGTAAGGAAACCCCAAGTTCAAATCCTACCTCAGACACTTGCTAGCTGGGTGATCCTGAGAAAGCTAGTTATTATATCTGTAAAATGGGAATAATAAAAGTGCCTACTTCCCAAGGTTGTTGTGGGGATCAAATGAAATAATATTTGTAAAGTGCTTTGCAAATCTTAAAGTACTATATAAACTTTAGCTATCATTATTATTATTATTATTAATTATTAGTGCCAGATACCTTTCCTTCTCCTCTTTGGACTTCATTCCCCTAGATAGCATCTTAAATTCAACACGCTGAAAATAAAATTCAAAAAACCCCACGAAAAACCACCTCTCTTGAAGCTCTCTGTTTCTGTCCAGAGCACCACAACCCTTATTGCAAGTAACCCACGTTCATGATCTTGGAGGTGTCCTTGACTCTTCCCTCACCCTCACCCCACCCCATCATGTCCAATTAGTAGCCGAGCCTTGTTGATTGTACCTCCACAATATCTTTCATTTCTATCTCCTTTTCTCCATCCACACCACAGCTATCCTGGCTTAGGCCTTCATCTCCTCTCCAGTAGACAGGTATGGTATAGCCTCTTCATTGGATTGGTCTCCCTGCTCCCAATCTATCTCCTCTCCAATCCAGCCTCCACACAGCTGTCCAAATGATGTTCTGAAGCACAGGTCTGGCCATATGGTTCCCTGTTGCTGCTAGAATTAAAAACAAACTTCCGTATTTCACATTTAAAGAGGTTGCTAGGTGGTGTGTTGGTAGTGTGTTGGATATGGAGCCAGGAAGACCTGAGTCCAAATTCTGCCTCAGTTCAAATCCTATGCTCACACTACCTGTGTGACCCTAACCTCTTTCAGCCTTAATTTTATCTCGATGGGAATTTAACTAAAGAGGAAACTGAGGAAAATATTCAAGCAAGATAACATTTATTAACAGGGGCATGCCGCCTGTCAGTAAATGGATCAATGGCTTGCCTCCATTTATGCCAAAGACCATAAGCAAAAGTTCAATTCTTCTTATATAGGTTTGGGGGAGAATAGAACAAAGAACAGAACAGGATAGATAACAACATGGGCTTGAGGGCAACACAATTAGTTACAAAGATGAGGGGAAGGGCACAACATGATTGGTTGGAAGATTGGTAATGGGGTTGGTAATGCCCCTTCTTCTCTCATGAGACTAAGAAGTGCTCATTGTTTGAGTACAGGTACAAGATAGTGGCCCAGCCTTTTGGATCCACAGCAAACCAGACATCCTTGAAGGATAGCTTGGTGGCTAAAAGATAGTAGGCCCAACTCCCTCATGTTCATACACATTCCCCACGATGAACAAAATTCCTTGAAGTAAGAGTAAATCAGTGATTAGCAGGAGAGCTGGATTTCTAAAATGAACCCATTACAAGCCGGCTGAATTCTGAGCTAAGATCAGAGACAAAGAACTATGACTTTAGCAACTACAGGAGAAAAGCAGTTGCAAGCAGTTTACAATGACTTGTAAATAAGATGAATAAA